CGGAGAACGGAGAAGGGACAGACAAAAAAAAATTTTTTTTCGACAGTGCTCATGTCTGTACCAACGGCGGTCCCGTAGGAAATTTTTATACGAGCGCAGATACTTTCGAAAAATTCGATTTCATCGATCTTCGAAAGTAACAAGGACCATTATTACTACTGTGAACTTAATCACATTACGAAAATTTCCTTCGAAAAGTTGTTATGTAGACGTGAGGCTATAAAATGGAATCGAACTCCCCGTATCGGAGGATACATTTACATTTTACGGTTATTGTTTCCTGGGTTCCCTTACCTGTAGGCCACTTATATTAATTGATCCGAATTTGGAATCTTACGAAAACAATCGTCGAATCCGTGAGATCCGATTTCGCTCCGTTTCAAACGCGCCCGCGCTTTTCAAGGCCGTCCAGAGACGGAAAATAAGTGGGGAATTAAAACGGAATACTGTTGGCAAAAGACAGGTGTGCGAGGTATTTGTCTGAACTTATCAAAGGGCAGCGTGTAGGATAATAAAATAAAACGTGGGGGGTTCTCACTAATGCGTATACAGGGTGTTTTGGTAATTTGGGGGCGCGATTTTTTTGTCCATTTTAACTTGTATATTTTTTTAATACTTGTATCACTTTAGATATTTTAATGAAATTTGTCATACATGTGCTATATATCAAGGGGCACTATTCAGTGTACCACATTTTAAAATACACCAGTTGCGGGCGTACGGAAGTTCACCTGTATATTTTGGCAGTGCGCCAAAATATACAGGTGTATACAATTCAACACATGGGTTTTGGATTTAAAAAAATTGACAAAAGGCAAGTTTTAATGGAATCTTTTAGAATTCGGAAATGGCGACTGGAATATCTAGACAAAAATTAGGATTTACAGAGAACAACAAAGGCCAATTATTTACTTATGATACCCGGAAAAGGATTGGGTTGACCCAACTGTTAGTGTGAAACAAACGCGCCATCAAAAAGAGGTCAAAGAATAACTATTTTGCATGCTGGCTCTAAAGATGATTGGATTCCAAATGGACTTTCTCTGTCTGCGAAAAATATTAAAGATTATTCTCTGAATTTCTATGAAGACACCATCGCCGATTTATTTGAAAGTTGATTTAAAAACAAACTAGTTCTAAACATTCCTTCTAATAGAGTCATTGTAATGGACAATGCAAGTTATCACAGTAGACTAAAACCCCTTCCTCGTGTGACACAAAAGCAACAATCCAAAACTACATGTATAATAACGACATTTATTTTCACGAAGATTATACCAAAAAGCAATTAATTGAGGTTCTGCAAAGCTTGAACCTACAAAAGGAATACGTCTGTGATAATTATGCAGAAATCTAGGGCATACAGTTTTAAGGCTTCCACCAGTCACAGAAAACAGAATTAAAACACATTACTTCTGCTCTTCTCTCTAATAATTTCCACATTGAAGATATTAAGCATTCCATCAAAAAATACACTTCACCACAATCTTTCAATAGCAATGAGGCCGAAAGCAATCGTACACTTGCCACTGTGGTCCTTCCTTACATTCAAAACATCACTGACCACATATTAACAGTTCTAAAGAACTTTAACGTCAAAACCAGATTTACCACTTGTCCAAAAATCTTTCAACATCTGCGGTCCGTCAAAGACAAAATTCCATTTGAGGTGCCAGGAGTTTACAGCATTCCATGCATATGCGGCAAAGAATACATTTGAGAGACATATGTTAGGGTGTATAGAGTTTAAATGTCTAAGAAAATCCACTAGGGTCCACAACACCCTGCGATATAGCTACCGCCGGTGTCAAAACGATCCCGTTACGGAGAACAGGCGTCAGAGAACAGAGAACAGACAAGAAATAAAAAACCTTCTTTTTTCGACGCCCAATCGATCTGCATCGAGATCACGAGTTTAGTGAGGAGCGTGGATACATTCCCGAAAGTCGAATCCGTCAAAGTTGAAAGAAAATTCGCCATTTTCTCGGACTATAACGCCGATGTAGACGCGTAAAACTTGGTAATTGGGTTTCGCGCGACTTTGACGCCCCGTCAGCTGAATACCAAGCGCGGCACGAACCGAAAACATTTTCCAAATTCGTTTGTCTCTCGCAGAAATTTTTAATTGCGCCCCCCACCCCCCCAGCTCCCGAAAATTCCGACCGGCTTTTGTCGAGGGATTGAAATATTACTCGATTTTAATATTTGAGAAGGGTATCGCCCGACCTTTGTCTTCATCCCTAAAGTTTCCATTAAAGCAATGCTATTTGCTCCCTCTTTGCGAGGAAAGTAGTGAAAGTGTCCGAAATTTTTCTTGAATAAATTTTAAAAAATGTTGGCGAAATAGAACAACAAACAAAGCTATGGCATTTTTAGCCGAATCTCAGTGCTTTTTCTTACCAAAATGCGGTGTTCAAAAGTGTTGGCAAACGGACAGGCCCAGTTTATGTAAAAACGGCCAGACATTTCTACGAATCTTCTTCTGATAATGTTAAAATTATTTTTTTTTATAAAGAAAAATATTTAATTTTCAGGATTACTTAACACATCCAATTTTAAGTTTTAGGGGATTCCAATTTTAAAAATGACGTGAGTTAAGTATATGTAACTGAGTTAAGAAAAATTATTTTCCTTTATTAATATTTTGTAAATTTGAGAATGTGAAAAGACTTTGCCGTTAATGCAAATGCCATCAAAGTCGTTTGATTTCTGTCGCAGTCGCATGGTACATGTTTGTTGTACACCATGGTATATTGCAAACAGCTACCTTTCCTCTTTGCAATAACCATAAAGGTCTTTTTCAGCTCACGAAATCTCTATATTAGCAAAAAGAAAGTGTTTACTTTTGAATCTCGTGTTTATAATTTCCATTTAATTCCCTTTTCAAACTGTACATTTACAATTAATCTATGGAAAATTACATAAACAACATTATTTTAAAAAATAAATCTAAAAAAAACGAAAATTAAAAATTTGCCCATTTGTTTTTATTTTTCTGGGCTTATTGCGATATTTCTTCATAATTTGACATAATTTTCACATACTAATGCAGGGTATTTCATTTGATTTTTTCAAGAAAATTAATTTTTTTTATTTTGACTAAAAACTACAATGTAACCAAAACTAACCAAAGTTAACAAAAACTATCTAAAAAACAAACTAAAACTATATTAAACTAACCAAAACTAACTAATACCAAGCAAAACTGAATAAAAATAACAAAAAGTAATCTAAACTAACCAAAATTAACTTAAACTAACGTCAACTAATCAAAACTAACAAAAAAAAACAAAACAAACTAAAATTATATAAAACTAACCAAAACTAACTCTACACCACGCAAAATTAACAAAAACTAACCTAGACTAACCAAAACCAACTTAACCTAACCTTAACTAATCAAAACCAAAAAAAACTAACTAAAATACCAAAACAAACTAAAACTGTCTAAAAGTAACCAAAACTAACCAAAGTTAACAAAACTCATCTAAAAAAACTAAACAAACCAAAACTGTATAACCAAAACTAACTAACACCAAGCAAAACTGACCAAAACTAACAAAAAGTAAACTAAACTAACCAAAATTAACTTAAACTAACGTCAACTAATCAAAACTAACAAAAACTAACTAAAAAAACAAAACAAAACAAACTAAAATTATATAAAACTAACCAAAACAAACTCTACACCACGCAAAACTAACAAAAACTAACCTAAACTAACCAAAACCAACTTAACCTAACCTTAACTAATCAAAACCAAAAAAAAACTAACTAAAATACCAAAACAAACTAAAACTGTCTAAAAGTAACCAAAACTAACCAAAGTTAACAAAAACCATCTAAAAAAACTAAACAAAAAAAAATGTATAAAACTAACCAAAACTAACTAACACCAAGCAAAACTGACCAAAACTAACAAAAAGTAACCTAAACTAACCAAAATTAACTTAAACTAACGTCAACTAATCAAAACTAACAAAAACTAACTAAAAAAACAAAACAAAACAAACTAAAATTATATAAAACTAACCAAAACAAACTCTACACCACGCAAAACTAACAAAAACTAACCTAAACTAACCAAAACCAACTTAACCTAACCTTAACTAATCAAAACCAAAAAAAACGAACTAAAATAACAAAACAAACCAAAACTATCTAAAAGTAACCGAAACTAACCAAGACTAATACAAACTAACCAAAACTAACTAACAAAGACTTTTGGTTAGTTGTGATTAGTTTTGGTTAGTTAAGGTTAGTTTCGGTTACTAAACTAACCTTAACTAACCAAAACTAATCACAACTAACCAAAAGTAACAAAAACTAACCAAAACTAACTCTACACCATGCAAAACTACCAAAAACTAACCTAAACTAACCAAAACTAACTTAGCCTAACCTTAACTAATCAAAACCAATAAAAACTAACTAAAATAACAAAACAAACTAAAACTATCTAAAAGTAACCGAAACTAACCAAAACTAATACAAACTAAACTAAATTAACCTTAACTAACCAAAACTAATCACAACTAACCAAAAGTAACAAAAATTAACGAAAACTTGCCAAAAGTCAACAAAACTAACTGAAACTAACCTAAACTAACCTTAACTAACTGAAACTGATTAAAACCAACCAAAACTAATAAAAACTAACCAAAACTAGCCAAAAGTCACCAAAACTAACTAAAACTACAACACAAGCATCGGGTAATTGACTTTATAGCACTTTATAGAATTGTTGGAATAATAAAATTACAGCTGTCAAAAATCCACAGGGCCTTTTTGACGAGAGGAAATGGTAGTAAGTTCGAATGAAATATATTTAATTTTAATTTCCCAAATGTTTATGAACAATTCTGTATATTTGAAAATAATTTTAGATTCTTTCTTTTAGTCTCATCTATAACTTTTGATCCACTATTTGATCACCATGTATACTATACGTCAAAAATCTTATCGCTTTTCCCTAATACAGCTTTCACGATTTATTTCAGCTCGAATACGGCGACGAGATATGGCAGAGGGCGCTGCAGATGTCCGAATGCAAGTACACCGTGTTCAACACTCACCAAGTATACCCCGACCATATCATGGCCAACTTGGCCTCCGCTCTCGCCCAGATCACCGCCAAATCGTACGACAGCTTCATGACGTTCTTCGGCAAATGCTTCGTTCGATTTTTCAGCAACTACGGGTGAGCGCTGTTCGATTTTCCAAAACCAAAGCGTAGCTAGTCGAAAGCCCTTTCGAACGAATTGTCACATGATGCCCTTTGCAATACCGCGATGGACCACCCGGTATAGCGAATCGCGAATCGAATCAAAGCGCCTCCGTTCGGGACGAATATGACAATTCAAAGGGCTTTATCAAATTTTACCATCGTCGAAAACGAAGATTCTTTCGGAAAACCAATTCGTTTTTTGATATACGATAGCGGTAAAACGAGGGATAAATAATATCTGTATCAACCCTCCACCCCGCAGCCAACTCCTCCGAAATAATAATAAATCGCGACAATCTCTTATACAGACTGTCCGGAAACTTTAACGACACTTTTCCCAATATCAGTAATTTTAACAGTCACCTAGGTGGGTACGTCTGCTTTCGTGGTACTTTTTCGTCAAATCCAATGTCGCCGTCGACCCCAGGAAGATCGGCAAGAAAAAAACGATAAGTTTAGTTTTCAGACGCCCCGTATAAGTCTGGGCGTAAATCCGAGCGCCCGATTACGCAATGACATCCCCCCGCCCGTACTCCTAGCGATCCCCCGTGACCCGGACCAATTTTCCACCCGACCGGGTCGCTTTTCTTTTTTTCCGCGAGCGGATATCAGAATTAAATAACTCCTCTGTGATTAAATTTCTGAAAGGTCGACTCGCCGCCTTGGAAAATACGAAACTAATCGACTTTTTTTTTTCCCCAATGCTCCGCCAAGTGGGTAGGTAACATGCGACACCCCCTAGATTCAGACTAGAAGCATGCTTGTAGCCTCCCCTGTATATATTATGCATATATTTCGACAGCACCCGGAGAACGCAGCTGAAAATTTATTTTGGCGGCAGTTCTCGACATTTCATCGCTGATAATTTGCAATAGGCTGCTTTAGACAGCCTTTGTCATGGTTTAACACTTAAGACTATATTTAAAACTTTGTAAGATGCTCCTTTGACAACTACGGCTTTTGAACAGTCGACTCCTTTGAACTGGGACTCACGAGTAAACCGCTGTAGAAATATTTTATGAAACACGTTTGAACAGGGTTTAGAACATCGCTCGTCTTCGAGCACAGATCTGAACATGGAACACTCTTATAGAGCTGCGTTTTGAGCATTTCATTTCGTGCTTTGAGCAACAGATCTTTTCATCCTGTTTAGAACGGCTAACTAGCTACTTGGAACATTTTAACAGGGAACGTACTATTGTAGTATTGTACTATACTCTCCGTAAGGCGCTGTTTTAAACACGGCGAATTTTAGAAAAAAAAAAGCTGTTTTCAACTACGGTAGTCTTTTAACACGCCCTTGAATAGGGAACGGTTTTGGGCATTTGTTATTTCGCGGTGTGCTGTTTCGAGTACCATTTCTTTCCTTCCTGTTTTGAGCAGGAACAAATACGTCAGACGCTGTTTAGAACATCGAATGTTTTGCAAATTTTTATCAAAACGCACTTAAACGGGAAAAGGTGTGACTAATCCCCAAGACGCTGTCTGGAACAGGGCGGATTTTAGAACAGCATTATTGAACAGGGAATCGTTTTATAGCGTTGGGTTCTGAGAACATTGACAATTTGCTCGTGTGTGTTGATTCGAGCGGCAGGTTTTTTGTTCCTGTTTAGAGCAGGAACCAATACGTAAGAAATTATTTAGAACAGCAAATGTTTTGCAGATCTCTTTCAAAATACATGCGAACGAGGAACGGTTGGGCGGTGATTTGAGCACTGATTATTTTGCACAAAGGATTTCAATAGGGATGTTGTTTTAAGCAGCATGGTGTTCTGTTTTGAGTAGCAGTTTCTTCTTTCCTTTTTGGAGCAGGAACAAATACGTTGTACAGAACAGCAAATGTTTTGCAGATCTTTTCCTGCACTGCTTCGAGTAGCAGTTTTTCCTTCTCGCTTAGAGCAGGAGCTATTTGAGCAGGAACTTATCCTTATGGCGATGTCTTGTAAAAAATTTTGGCTTGCGATGGCGTCGTTTTGAGCATAAGCCCTTTCGTCAATGTTTGGAGCAGGAATATAGACGCAAGAATATCTTGTCAAAACCTCTTCCAAAACTCATTTGAACAGGGAATTTGTAGCGCACTGTTCTCGTGTTTTGAGCAGTGCGGTTCAACTGCTATTTTGAACAGTCGAATTTATTTTTTTTTTTGTGTAGTGCTTTACGTAGAAGCCTTCTCGTTCCTGTTTCGAGCAGGGTATATTGTTTTGGTTAGCTTTCCAAGTGTGGAAAGTTTTGAGTAGGACCAGTTGTAAACGCAAGCGAATCTATTGTCAGTGGCGTGGCGTGATATTTTTTTCCCGAAATGACAGGTACGACGAGACGATCAAGGCCACGGGTAGGACGTTCACCGACTTCCTGGAGAACGTCGACAACATCCACTCGCAGTTCAGACTATCGTATCCCAAAATGAAAAGCCCCTCGATGTACCTGACGAAAATCGACGAGAATGGTTGCGTTTTGGTGTACCGTAGCAAGAGGAACGGGTTCACTCATTACCTGATGGGTGAGGATAGGCTCGAAACGTCCAGAAACGGGTGTTAGGATTCGGGAACATTCCAGGTCAGCTGAACCAGATCGCGAGGGAATTATTCGACCTAACGCTGCGCGCCACTGTCCTCTCGTCCGAGGTCAGACAGGTCGACGGCAAGACCATATTCAAAGTCACGTTCCGGTTGGACTTCGACAACACCCAGTATGTAAGTCGACGAAACACCGCGGTAAACAATAAGAGGCTGGGGGGAGCCAATTAATATTCGCAACAAGGGCGGCGATTCTTATAACTAAATTTGAACGCTTCGATCCCCTTACGCCAATTTAATTAAAGTGAATTGGTAATTAACCGCGTCGGGAAAAGCGACAGACGCTTCTACCGCAATACGAACCCACGTAGGTCGTTTTTGTAGGGAAACCGATTTTTTTATAGCCAAAATTGTTTAGTATTGATAAGCTATTATCTTGATTCGGGTTTAAAGGCCGTCGTCGGGTATAGAATTACTTCCTAACGTTTCGCTAGCACGAGTGGCGAGCTTCTTCAGAGGTCCTTCCATCTACGATGTATATATATATATATATATATATACATATATATATATATATATATATATATATATATATATATATATATATATATATATATATATATATATATATATATATATATATATATATATATATATATATATATATATATATATATATATATATATATATATATATATATATATATATATATTATCTTACACTATGTACGTATCTTCAAACAAACCTTTTTTAAATATTTTTTAAAAAATATCTCAGTCTATTTCTCGGACGACCTGTACATTTACACGCAAACGGGCGAAATAATATTAAAGTCCATTTAACGGACGACTGAATTTACAAATATCAATGCGAAGCAATCAGAGAGTGACGTTTCTCTACCGTTCCGCTCTGTATTGTTTGTCGTTTTAAGCTCGATCTTAGAGTAAAGAAGCAGTGTAATCCATCTCCGTTCGCTCACTTCTTTTCATTCGCTTCGAACTGTGAGAGCTTAAACTGTCGAACTTGATGTTCATTACGTCTTCGAAGTTAACAAAACCGACGGTCCACTGTCCAGAAGAGAGAGAGAGTACAAGTCGACAACAATGCCGCCACCTGGACTAGCCAGGCGAAAACGCGACTGTCACAATTGAGAGATTTTCTTCTTCTTTACTGCCCTTGGCCAAGACTTTTTTTTTTTCAAAAGGACGAACCCATTTTGAAAAAAAATACTCACTACGCCACTCAAATCTAGATCGCCGTGCGCATTTTATCCACTCAAATCAACAGTTTAGCAGTTTATCCAAGTTTTTCGAGAGGCGGTATTTGTAAGGTTTCCGACTTCGCCGCCGAATTTGCGCGATTTTTAAAAACGGTCCGACGCACTCGCAGATCGTCGCGACGCAGAAGAAGGAAGAAGCGCTCCAGAGGACGATCAGCCACTTGCCGTCGTTCGACAGCGACCTGTTGATGGAACTGTTCCCATTCGCTGTACTCTTCGATCAGACGCTCAACATCGTAGCGTGCGGCGAACGGCTCGTCCAAGTCGCGGGCGGCTGCGACAAACTGCTCGGCCAATCGGTGACGAGGTACTTCAGGCTGCGCAGACCCAAGGGTATCGCGTTCACCTGGAAAAACGTGAGTTTCGAAGGGCTCATTCTGTGACGTGTGTGTGCAGGGATTCTATTTAAGATGCTCTCGATATGTACGACGCCGAGTGAAAAAAGTTAAATACAAAAATTGTTTGACTCTGAGTATATATTTTATTTATGGTATTTTCATATATACAGGGTATTGTGTTGCACCGGGATAGTACCCAACTTTGTTTTTTTAAATAGTACTTGCTTATACCGCAAATTTTTTTATTCTTCTTTTTTTTAAGTAATATACCAGACCCATTGCTTACGTGTGTTCGTATCGTGAAAAATAATTGCCTCTTCTTACTGACTTTGTTGTCTATGATGTATAACAGAATGATAGGTTATTATGAGTGTGCTGAATGCATTACTTTGGAAGCAATACATTGTCAATTGTCTAATACACTTTTCCATCTTTTTTGTTTGACTTTCATCTGACTTTCGTCTTTGTTTTGTACGGTCGTTTGTTCATGTTATTGTATATACTTCTTTTTAGTCCGAGTGATTCTGTATTACTTTTTTTTTAATTGATTCGTTTTAGTTTTGGTTAGTTTAACTTTTTTAATTTCATCGCCTTACTTTTATTTTATTTAGATCCAGACCCATTGCTTATGAGTGTTCGTATTGTGGAAAATAATTGCCTTTTTTTACTGATTTTGCCCTAATATTAGGTATATGTGGTGTAACAATTGTCACTGCTTGCAATTTGTTTTTTCTCTTGGTGATTCACAAATGTTTCTTTCCTACTCTATTTTTTTTATTTAAATATTGTAACGTCGAAACTTTTATTGAATGCATTACTCTAGAAGCGATTGTCTATTGTCTGTTATACTTTTTCATCTGTTTTGTTTCATTTTTTGTACGTTCCCTTATTCATATTATTTTATACACTTCCTTTTGATTTTGCATTATTTTTATTTTTGAATTGATTTGTTTTGTTTATAACTTGGTTTATTTATACAATTTTGTATGTTCGCGTTGTTTTATACTCTCATCTTAATTTTACTTTAATACAAACATTTGTATAAATAATGGTGAGTGAAAATGATAATATCTCGCGCACCCTGTACGATGGACGAAACATGAAATTCTCTCTCGACACAATTTACGACGCCGTTTAAACCAAATTATTCCATATTTCATACTTTCTCATATACGGCAAACGATTTGTGTGCTGGAAGAGCAAGAGCAAAAAATTTCAGATGTTTGGGCGGTCGCCCTGGATTTTCCACGTTTCCTGGTTCATGGATTTTGCCGATAGGTTGAATAGTTTTTGAAAAAGTCATGTTTATCTGAAAGTGAAAATAACCGACGAAAAAAAAAATACTTGGTGATATTAGATTACAAGTTTAGATTAAAAAAAAGTAATGTATGCACACGCGCTTTTCTGTTCCAGGCGTTTTATTTGAAATCGGTCATGTTTGAGATCGAGGTGTTGCGAACGGAACTGGCCAAAAGCCTCACGGAAACTCAATCCGGCAACTCTTTAGAGGCGGGCGAGATCGAGATAGACGGTAAAAGTATATCCCCTTACGCCCTGAGGAGGGACAGTCAGCCCGGGCTGCGAAACATCCTGCTCAAAGGCCAGATGCACTACCTAGGAGATATTAAGGACATCATTTATCTGTGCTGTCCCGTGTAAGTACAAAAAAGGGGAGAACTTTCGGACGCAGCTCACGCCCCGCGAGGCTTAGGGATATTAGGTCGAAGGTCAAAGATTCGGCTTTATCTTTGCGTTCGTTCTGGTCAGCAGCGGTGTCGGTGGGAGGAGGGAGGTGTTTTCTTTAGGGCCGTGCGTCGAAAAGTGCTTAAATTAAATTTCGAAATTTATTTTTATACAGGGTGTACAAATAGTGTGTCTTAAAAAAAAGGTAAATACAAAAGCTATAAACGATACATAAATATGAGGGGAACCAAATCATTATTTTTTTTAGATGGAACACCCCGTATATTACACATTTTAACGCACAAAATAAATGGAAATTTTTTAATTTCTTCCATTAGTGTAGCAATTTTGAGTTTTTAAAGCCATAAATATTATTGAACTATAAATAAAAGTTTTGTACCAGTTTTCCCACACCCTCACACACACAAGGTAGATGCCTTTTATTTTTTAATCCACAGACTACTTAATATACACCACTTCTCGAAGAACATTTTGAAAAATAATTAAATATTATAAAACGAATGGCATTTGACAGTGGTTATAGAAAAGATTGTAACTAAAAAACAGTTTCAAATAATGAAATACATCTATGCTTTAATGACCAATTTTATTTAAATCCGTCTCCATGTTAAATTTTAATTTACAGATCGGGAATTAAGAAAATATTACTACTTGATTTTATATATACATATCGGAATATTTCATATCTTGTATTTGATAAATTTCCCGATTTAATTGTGCGAGAACCTCTGCCCAAATATGATATTTTTTACGTATTTCGGAAACTCTGATGAAAAAGTGTTCAACTTCTTAAATACATAAAATATGAAAACAGCTTTCGAAACTGTTATTTCTTTAGGACAATTAATAAAAAGTCCAATCGTGGAATCAAAAGATCGGAGGTATATAAACATTCTTGTAACGGTTACCTCAAAACGGTCAACGAGGAGGATGTTTTTGTAAACCAATAATAGATCATCCATGGTTCATTAAATCAAAAATTTAAATCAATCAATTTTATCAATTTATTTGTTTTTGAAAGTCGTAGTTTTTCGATATGATGCCCTAATTTTTCTTTATTCGTTATTTTTAAATTGAAATTATTTTGGAATAATAATAGTGCAGTGACGTCATAGCTTGACATCCTTAACTAGTTCATTACTGGGTGTTGTAAAATAGCTAAGACATAAGGATCATTTTTGACTATGTCACTATACCTGAAAACAACTGCTCGGATTGGAGTATAGCCAAAAATGTACGGAAACAATGATCTCCAGACAACTGATTTTGACATTTTGACAGAGTTAACGACATTAGCGAGCTGCCGGACCAGGGTCTCTACTTGAACGACCTGAACCCGCACGGATTGGGCAGAGAAATGGCGCTGGCTGGTTGGCAGAATAACTCCAAGTAAGTACGGTATCGAATATTTCGTTCGGAATCAAGCGACGTCGCCAGATGGCGTTTTCCGACATAACCTAGGAAAAAGTAGTTTTCCTTAACTATGAATAAATGCTTCGGAAGTCTCCTCCTTTCTTTTTATTCTTCTTCTATGTTTTACTCTTCATTCACTCAGTCATTGTGAGCGCTTCAAGTTCATTTAGTTACAAGTTTACTGTTGGATCAGTGCATGCCCTTGTTCGGTTTAGTCCAGCTAGACCGGACCTTCGATCTGACCCTAGGTTAATAGTCGTTCCAGGTTATCCCCATCTCTTCTCTGCATTTGTTCTTCTCTTCGGCAATTAAAAATTCCGCAATATTTTTGCAATCGGCAGCTTTCAACCGCCATGTTTCCGCTTCATATGGTAGGACTGGGAATTACAATGTCCTTATTATAGTGGCTTTTGTGTTAAATGTAATAGCGCTCTTTTTGTAGCTGTCATATTTACGACCAACGCCCAGTGAACAAACGGTTTACTAGTTTGATATTAATGTTTAATTTGCCAAATAATAAATATTATTCGAACATTAAATGACATTTAGAAAACAAAATAAAATGTCCTTATTGAACTTTTTTTTTTGTAATACTTTCGAAGCGCACCTGATGGTTAATATGACCTTATATGAATCTTTTAAAATTTGAGAACCTAACCCAACTTAACTCCGTCAATAAGTTGGTGGTACAGAGTGTCAAAAGTTCAATTCGAGCTACTCTTCCTTTTGCCTCCTGCATAACAAGTGTCGAAGGTCTAAGATTACTCGGTTATGCTGATCCTTTTTTCTCCCATTTCGACGTGTCAAGCCGCGACAAGATTCGATAAATTTTAATGCGGGTCTCGAAGGGAGGATAAACGCATCGGGGTATAAAATTGACGCTCGGCAGACTGGATAAAAAAAATCGCTTACCGAAACTTCTAGTGATTTTGTTTCTATTTTTGGGGTCAAATATATTCTCGACAATGGGTGAACAGGACAATGCGTGTTTTTAGCTAAATAATTCAAAAAATACACTCTACCGAGTCTAGAATAGAAGATACCTTAAAAATATGGGGAGTCAGCAATGTCAAAAATAACTTTAATCCCGTTTTCTCTCCGCCACTGACGTCGGCGCTGATTAAACAAATAACCGGACGTCCCTAAAAGCCACAAATCGACGGCGTTTTCATTTCGCTCGTCCAGAAATTGATGGGCTCTCACGCTCGACTTCCAGATTGGAACTAATGTTCGACAAGGCGGAACAGCGCGCCACCGAGTTGGAAAACAATCTGAGCCTCCTGGAGGTGTGGAAAAAGCGTGGAGACGACTTGCTCTATTCGATGATCCCCAAACAGGTCGCGGACAGGTTAAGGACCGGCGACAGTCCATTAAGCACGTGCCAGGTTCGACTTTTCGACGAGTTTCGTATCGTCCGTTAATTAATTTATCCGTCCAGTCCTTCGACGCGGTGACTGTTATGTTTGCCGAACTCCTGGGCTTTAATTCTTCTACGGTGGAGGACGCCATGGAGCTGGTGAGCACCATGAACGCCGTCTATTCGTGTTTCGACGGACTGATGGACAAATTCAACGTCTACAAGGTAATAACGCCCTTTGCGGTTTCATAATTCTTCCGGGTACTATGCTTATTTTGTAATTTTCTATTAATAAAGCTCAAAACTGAAGTCTGCTCCTCTGAGCCCACTGTGTCGGCGATAGATGTGGGATAAAATGGTTTCTCAGGCTCTTGACAAATTTAGGAAAAAGAAAATCATATTTAATAACTCTAATTTTTATTTCAAACAACCGTCGGTAAAACATATTGTATTAAAAATATTTTAAACGATTTGCCCAAAAAGTCCGACATTATCAATGTCTTTTTGTCAGATCACAGTGGTCAGTTTATAATAATATATGTTTTTTTTATTTGTTTAATATTATTTGAGCATAAACCACATTAAGTAATTAAACAAATAAATTAATTTACTCATAATTAAATGATTAATAATTATAATAATTAATGATTAAATATAACAATAACATTCCTCATCATATTAACAAATTTAAAAGAAAAAATATGATCAATTTTAGTGACTTAATATATATATATATATATATATATATATATATATATATATATATATATATATATATATATATATATATATATATATATATATATATATATATATATATATATATATATATATATATATATATATATATATATATATATATATATATATATATATATATATATATATATATATATATATATATATATATATATATATGATGACACTATATTCCGGGATATCATCCGTTCGCTCGTTGAACTCCGACTGGAATCCTGCATCCGACTGGAATCCTGCAGACGTTTCGCCAAAATCTCACTTGGCATCTTCAATGCTCGCGCTCCGAAAACACTTCGAACAACGAAGTGTTTTCGGAGCGCGAGCATTGAAGATGCCAAGTGAGATTTTGGCGAAACGTCTGCAGGATTCCAGTCGGATGCAGGATTCCAGTCGGAGTTCAACGAGCGAACGGATGATATCCCGGAATATAGTGTCATCATATTTTTCCATCCGTGAATCAATACGTGAGAATATATATATATATATATATATATATATATATATATATATATATATATATATATATATATATATATATATATATATATATATATATATATATATATATATATATATATATATATATATATATATATATATATATATATAATTATAATATAATTCGTTGTTTCTTTATTTGGAAAGATAATGGAGAGAACTTTAAAAGAGAGATTGGTCGATTCTTTTGATAAACCTATGTCGAGTCACAACTAATTTGGAGGCTGTGGTCGAGGGCACAGTGTCATAACGGTTAATGATAATTTTGGTTAGTTCAGAAGAAAAATGTCTATAGGTCGAGACGGTAGGTCAGGTGTACATGGTGGTGGGCGGGGCGCCTCAGCGCACGAAAAGCCACGCCGAGAACATCTGCGATGTTTCTCTCTGCATGGCGAAACACATAAAACACCTTCAGATCCCCTCGGGCAACAAAGTCGACGTCAGGATAGGTCCGACGCGTAAAACAACCTCGCGGCGTTGCCGGATCTGGCGGTTTCTCCCCAGATCGCAACGCAGCTTCCGTTCGATACGATAAAAATCTCGCTTGTAGGTGTGCATTCGGGACCAGTGGTGGCGGGAATAGTGGGCATCAAAGTGCCGAGGTACGGATTCTTCGGCGACACCGTCAACACGGCGTCCAGGATGCAAACAACGAGCGCCGTAAGTTTTGGGGGGCCTCGCGTGGGTGGGGGGGGGGGGGTACGAATTTTAAATTTGTTCCCGTCGCAGCCCGGCATGGTTCACATTTCGGCCACGACGAAGCGCCACCTGCCGAAAGACAAGTACATCATCCGGAACAGGGGCGTGGTCAAGCTGAAGGTGGGTTGGTTGAGTGGGACGGGCCGGAGGTGTAACCCGGGGTTTTTTCAGGGCAAGGGGGAAGTAGAGACTTACTGGCTGTTCGAGGACGACCTGGCCGAGTACGTAGCTGAAGGAGACTTGGCAGAGGGCGACTGAGAAAGTGTGTCGCTTCAAGTGTAGATGTGGTTATTTTAAAATGTCTGAAAATAAACAAGGTGCAACAATGACTTTTCGTTCGCTTTCCCCCGCTGTCCCCGATGTACGCTTGAGCTTCGTTCTCACTAAAAAAAAAAAACGTCTACTTTCGAAACTGCGATGGGCGATAAATAAAATTCATACCCCGCCATATTGACCCGTCCGTTTACTTTGAACGTCCGTCTCGCGTGTCAGCGGACAATGGTCATCGTTTTCGAACAATGCCTTTCTCATTAAACACTTTAATTAAAGCGGTCCGTCACTCGAATGGCTTTCGAAAGGTTTCGAATATCCGTAATGGGGTTTGGGGGGAGGTCAGGAGCTTAAACGAAACTCTATGATCGACAATTCGACATCAGTTACGTACCATAGACCCCACGATCGACATGTATGGGATGTTGCTAGAATCTATCCAGCACTTTCTCCAGGTGGGTTCGCGTTTTCTTCTTTTTCGTTTGTCGCGACGGCACGTTTTACGCTTCCAGCTGGAGTACGGCGAAGAGATTTGGAAAGAGATAGTGGCTAAAGCGAACTGTAAACACGCGGTGTTCAACACCCACCAGATATACCCAGACGATTTGGTGCTGCAGCTCGCCCGTGCGGGTTCCCAAGTAACCGGCGGTTCTCTGGATAAATTTTTGAATTTCTTCGGCAAGTGCTTCATCAGGTTCTTGACGAGATTCGGGTAAAACGCAGCTCGGTGTTGTAGAATCGTAGAATTTAACGAATGTACGAGGGCAGCGCCAAAATTTCCCGGCCTGAATATGAAAGAAACAAAGTAGAGTAACAATTTTTTTATTATTTTTCATTATAATCCCCCTCAACTCCAATACACTTATTACATCTCTTTCTTAAACACTCAATCCCTTTCAAAAAAATATTCTTTTGGTTTGTCTGCAAATTGAGCTAAAACAGCCTCTTTTAACTCAACTTCGTCGTTAAACCGCCGTCCACGTAAGTCCTTTTTCAAATATCCGAACAAATAATAGTCGCTGGGAGCCATATCTGGACTATAGGGAGGATGATCTATCTGTTGGAACCCACACCCTAAAATGGCAGCTTGTGCAACACCAGCAGTATGGACAGGTGCATTATCGTGCCTCTGGTCAGTTTTCCTCGACGTTTTACACGTATGCAGTCTCGCAATTTATGTAATAATGTTGCGTAATATTTACCGTTGACAGTGGTATTAGTTTCTTTAAAATCTATCAAAAGAATTCCTTCACAATCCCAAAAGATCGCGGCCATCACGTTTTTTGTTGACTGGCAGACCCTGAATTTTCTTGGAGGTGCTTAGAGGGTCATAATAGAGAACCATAGTTTCATCTCCAGTCAAAATAATTTCTATCGCAGGCTTCGGTTCCGACCCACAGACCGCGCACACTCGACACTGCGTTGTTTTTGAATAGCCGAAATGTGTTTAGGAGCCCATCTTGTACTAACCTTACGCATATCTGCAATGATCATGCAGGATTCGACGAACACTTGTATCAGAAAGCTTAGTAATTTCTGAGATTACCTTGACCTTTAAACGTCGATCACTCAATACCACCTCTTCCACAATCGCAACAATATCTTCCGTTACGACTGGTCGAACAGTTCTTGAATCATCTTCAAGGGACTCCTGCCCCATTCGAAAACATTTTGCCCATTCTTTTACTACAGAATACGAAGGAGAACTTTGGCCGTACACACCATCCAGCCTTTTTTTAAATAATTTTAGGTGCTAACCCTTCTTTCGTCAAAAACTTTATGACTGCTCTATGCTCAATTTGGGTTATTTATTATTTTTTTTTTAGTTTTAGTTTTAGTTTAGTTATTTGGGACTCAAGACTTTAATTTTTTTTTTTAAAGAAGACAAAGCTTTATCGTGATACTAGAGCTGCATCTATGTCAGGCCGTAAAATTTTGGCTCTAGCCTCATATCTTGATAACATTTAAATTGGCTGAAACTTTTTTGTTTTTAGAGATATCAAAACAAAAGAACAAAATGTAGGGTTAGTAGCCAATTTTTTTCCAGGTGTGAAACAAAACAATATTAATTTTCTGACGTATAAGTCTACATCATATTTTTTTAAATGGATGACCCTGTATACTACACACATATTATATTTTAGTCCACTCATTTTTGACAATTCGACAAAAATAGGAAATTTCTCGATAAATTGACTGACAAATAAAAATATCTTTTTGTTTGACATATTAGTAAACGACGTTGATGGTTGAACTATTGTGCAAGTCATTATTGTTAAAATGAAAGGAGTGATTTCCAAGGCTGGCAAAGACATTTGCAGAAACCGATAGCGTATTAAATGCTGAAAAGGTATGCCGGAATCATAATGTTTTAAATGAAGAAAACAAGGCAAACATATTAGGATTCTATGAAGCACATCCAGTTTCCTCTATTACTAGAGTATATGAAGAGACAGGTATTTCTCGGGGATCAATAAGTCAGTTTTGAAAGAATACAAATTTAATGCATTTAAATTTCGTAAAACTCTCTAAAAACAAGAATGTCGCAGCCAATTAAAATGTGTCGAGATTAATTGAATGCACGGTACTAATCGGTCGAGGAACAAACGAAAGATACACTGGTTATGACGATGACGCCATGGTAATTTCAAAAAAACGATACGTTTCATCGTTGGTATTAACAAATGTTTAGTATAAATTAAGGTAAACATGATCACAAACCTCGACAAATAATCTAATCCTAATCGAAATCTGCAACTATTTTTTCTTTCACCACTGCTAAAGTCCTCGTTTTTAACAAAATCACTTTTAAGTGATTTTCTTTACCTAACCACTACGAAAACTTCCGGTTCATTCTAAATCGGACTGGATTCTTTATATTACATTGTAAGGAATTTTAGTAGTACGGCGTTGTTGATGATCGATTTTTCTCAACAGTTTTTATTAATAATAGGAATATGAATGACTCACGCATACGCACAAGCTTATTGCAGCGCTCTCTAACGGTGGTCTTGCGCGGCTCGTCTCTGTTTTAATTTCACTTGATGATGGTTCGCCCTTTCAAACGTAGATGGCGCTGCACGTATTGCACTGCACTGCTTCTATGGTATCTGGCAGTAGTCTTAAACTTACTTCCCCAGATCAGATTGTTTAATTTTATTCATAATATAGATTTATACTAGACAAAAGATTACGACTTTTTCGAGTGTATGCACTGAATAGATTAAAATTATTTATACCTGAGAGGATTTAAAAAAAAATTAAGTACCAAAGACTATTCGATCTCGATAAGTTTCCCAAATATTTTTTCAGCGAAAGGACGAAACAAATTCGCTAAGCGCGCTCAATATACCGGGCGTTAAGATAGTATATAAATATTTTTTCGAAAAATTTTACAAGGGCTCCTTGGGTGTAAATTATGTCAAAATTCGTATAAGTTACACACCAGAAATGCATCCAAATTCGCAATTAAACTTCTAGAAGGGCCTTTTGCGATCTTAGAATAGAAGCGCGTCGCAATAAAATTTTAAGAAAACTTTCAACGTTCTTTTCTATACTCCAAGACAAAAATAACATCTTTCAGCCAACAGACCAACCAATTCCATTAATTTTCTGAGACTTTGCGTTTGTTTTAAATCTAAATTCAATATTTTCTTCTTCGTAATAAGATTAGTTAAAATTATTAATTAACTTTTGGTTATTTTAATTACACTATTTGATCGTTAATTAAGTAAATTAAGTGAATTGATTAATTAATAATTCAATTAATTAAATTAATTGACAATAAAATCAATCATTTAATTATTTAATTTCGTCGATTATTATTATTCGCTGAAATTATGAAATAAATACTTAAATTAATTATATTATAATTAAATGAAATTTTAATTAATAATTTATTTAATAATAAGTTTGGAATTTGAATTCATTTGAGACGGGCGCTAAGTTTATTGTCCCATTGTGATCGCGCGCTGTGAAGGACAATTCGTGAGGAGTGTGGAGGAGACCGACTGCCGAGTCATAGCGAATCAGCCCTCCAACACCCACTTCCAGAATGTTGGTACTATTTCCTGTGTCCATTCCCAGAATTTCTTTCGGAGTTCGCCGAGTGGTTCACAGTCGACAAGTTCATGCAGAGGAGTTTCATCCGCTGTGTTGCATCTTGCACAGAATACATCTTGTATAATGCCGATGTTCCAAAGATGCTTTCTTGTTTACCAGTGTCCAGCCCGATAAGACTTTAAGCAAGAATCCTGGACGGTCCCTGAAATAGGGCTTTAGAGTATCTCATATCTTCAGCTTCAAACCACATATCGAGAAATCTATTGCTAGATCTCTGGCCTAGTGGGCACTGAGGTAGGACAGGTGTACTTGTGTGACAAGCTCCATTTTTTGCTTGCCTATTTGTCCTCTCGTTCACTGCTCCAGATCCTTGTCCCTAAATATTTCTGCATGTCCATAAACCGCCTTCCTCCAAAAGCCATTAAAGTGCAGCATCAAGCCGGGGCTTTAGCATATAGATATGGGGGCTTAACATTAAGTATAGCTTCCATAGCTAGTGGGCGTAGGTTTTCATAGCTCCTGGTATACCCAGCATCGCAAGTCTATAGACTCTGTTTAATGCTTCTGACCCTGTCTACTGATGTGTGTGTTCCAGTTGACGCCTAAGTAACGCACTCTGGAGAAACTTAATACTGTGTTGGATATACAAGGAAGTACAAGCGTGAACTTTCTCCTCTTTGTGAAGAGCACCATCTCAGTCTTGTTGGGGTTAACCTTCAAGGATCTGGATGTGCACCATTCCTCAATAAGATCCAGAGCACCTTTGGTTAAATTCATTAATAAATAATCAGTTGATTAATTAATTAATTTCCCAGCTACGACGTGACGATCAAGGCGACCGGCAGATTTTTCACCGAGTTTTTGGAAAGCGTCGACAACATACACGCTCAGTTTTCCTTCACGTATCCGCGGATGAAGAGTCCATCCATGCACGTGACCCACGTGGACGAGTATGGCTGCATCCTGGTCTACAGGAGCAGCCGCAACGACTACGTGCAGTACTTGATAGGTAAAAAAAAAGTAATTTCTTCAATCCCCGTCCATCCCTGTCAGGTCATTTTCAAGTCGTCTCTGTCCGATCTCGCTTCTCTTCAACTCCTTCGTGGTCTTCTTCTGCATTCTTCCCGCTGAGTATTTTTTTAGCAAGGCGCGTCCATGTTTTGATTGGTTTTGATCACCTCCAGTGACCTTATGACCTTTCCTTCCAGTTGCCAAACTTCTCAACTATATGGGACCATGCTTTTTATGATGGATTTATATATTAGAGGCTTCTCTCGTTTTTGTGATTGTTTTGGTCTTAGAAGGTGCCGTTTTTCAATCTCGAATCACGCAGTCAAAAGTTCCACTTTACTTTTAGACCCCATTTGTTGTATGTCATCGCCTATGTGCCATAATGATCTGATCATCTGCCTCAGAGTTCGTATTGTTACATTTTATGATGCGAACTAAAAAGAGACCGATAAAAGAAAGACCTCACCCCGAATGCTACTCTGCAGGGATCTTGGAGCAGACGGCCAGGGACTTTTTCATGCTGAAGCTCTCCTGTAAAATCGTCGAAAAGAAAAACTCGACCAGCGACACGAGGTCCATTTTCACCACCACCTTGAGGTTGGACTTCAACAACAAGCTGTACGTAAGTAGTTGAATTTGAGGATGGAATTGAGTGACGCCACTCAGGTGGTTTGGGTTATCAACATCCGACGAACTGGTTCCAAACTGGTTTCAGGTGCAAAATGAGCGGTCGAAGGAGACCGCCGACCGTCTAGCCAAGCTCGGGACGTTCTCTTCCGATCTTTTCGTGCAACTCTTCCCCTTCTGCATCATCCTGAACCGCGAGATGGAGATCGTGACCGCCGGCGACAACTACGGCATCATATGGAACCACAACACCAAATGCATCAAGACTCCTGTCACCAAGTACTTCAGGCTGAGACGGCCCAAGGGTATCGCGTTCACGTGGAAAAACGTAAGCATGGAAACGTCGGAAAATGACGTCACCCGTCGTTGTTCGCGTAGTTTTTGACTTTTGGGTAAATTTGAGAAAATCGGTCTTATTTAGATCAAAATGGTCAGTCATTCTTAGTGGACAAAAGATTACAAATATTTTTACTATTTTTCTCAAGATATTTCGCTAAATTTTAAACTTGGCAACGGTGTCACGGAAGGTTTAGAACGTGACTTTGATATCGGCATCATACCGGCCCTATTAGAAGTATGGAGAACAAATAAATATGAGTGAATACTATCTATATAGAACATCAAAACATTGCAAGAACCAAGCATATTTTTTCGTGAAAAATTTACTGTTTTATGTAAAAATCTGAAATTTTGCTACAGCTTGATAATGGACTCCTGATAAAAGTTAAGTTATAGCATACGAAGCTGGAATGATGAATGAATGAATTCTAAACGTGCAGAATCAAAAATTGCCTAAAGCAGTGTTGTCAGATTTAACACTTTTCCGAATGAAATATCATCACGAAATCTGACAAGGTAACGAATTTTATCATTTCTTCTTTTTGCTGATTTGGAGATTTTTACTGAAATAGCGGGCTAGGACGCAATAGCGAGCAAGAAAATGCGATTTTTGCAGAATTTCTCTAGGTTAGAGGTGTTACGTTACCTCCTAAATATGAGTTTTCATTTAAATGTCTTTATCTCCGGATTGGGCAAATCGGAATCAAACGAGCTATGTATTTACAACTCGAATCGTTTTTGGGGCCAGATCAAGACCCTGCAGAAGGTGCTGTTCGAGCTGGAGTGTAGCCGGGGCTATCACGACTTCGGGCTGCTGCACCAGAGCTCCAAGAACGGCGAGGCTCACAAGAAGGACGCCGAAACCAAGCACTTTCTGCTGCTGAAGGGCCAAATGAAGTACATCGCAGACATCGAACGCGTGGTGTTCCTCTGCAGCCCCATGTAAGTGTTCTGAGTATTGCCGATATTAGTTAAATAATATTCAATGGTTTCCACAAGAACATCGAAAACTTCATTTGCTAAATAGAATGGACAGAGTTGACTGGTTTTTATGAAACTTCGACGTTTGACAATTCTTAGGTTATGTCTTAACACAGTCAGTTTACCAGATGACAAATGACTTTTTGTTAGGTTAGGTTGATTGGTTACAAACAAAAAGCTTTAAAAATGATTTTTTTCTGTTTGGTTGCACCCTACTAATTTTTGTCTTGTGCAAAACAAACTATAATCTACTGAAAATTATGATGCTATATGTTTAAAAACCTTTGAAAACGTATTTTTCGTGTTTGGTCCAACATGGGACGATTATCTTCAGGAGAGCCATAAGTGACTTCTGTAGTTTTGTTGTGTGATATTTTTTTCGGTAATATTTTAATTTAAAAAATTCTATATTCCATTTTCTTTATCTAAATGCATCGTCATTTACCTAATAACACCATTTTCTATTTAATTTTAAATCACAGAGTGTAGACGTTCGATAATTCTTAGGTTATGTCTTGAAAGAGCCAGTTTACCAGGTGACAAATAACTTTTTTATTGGATTAGGTTTATTGTTTACAAATTAAAATCTTTGAATATTTAATTTTTCTCGTTTGGTGAGACACTTAACCTTCTAATCTGTGTTCTGTGTAAAACCAGCTATAATCTACTAAAATTATGATACATTGTATATAAAAACCTACGAAAGGACTTGCTTTGTGTTTGATCTAACATAGGAAGATTATCTTCATTAGACTCATAAGTGACTTCTGCAGTTTTGCCATGTGATATTTTCTTAGATAATATTTTAATTTAAAAAGATCTTTTTTCCATTTTTTTATTATAAAGTCACTTACTTACTTAGACCCTTTTCTATTTACATTTATATCACAATGTATAGACGTTTGACAATTTTTAGGTTATGTCTTAACAGAGTCAGTTTACTAGATGACGAATAACGTGTTCCTTAGGTTAGGTTTATTGTATAAGAATGAAAACCGTATAAAATTTAATTTTCCTATTTGGTTGAACACCTAACCTACTAATTTGTTTACTGTGTAAAACAAACTATATTCTACTGAAAATTATTGTGCTTTGCGTATAAAAACCTTTTCAAAATAGATAGATTTCTCGTGTCTGGTGTAACATAGAACGAATATCATCATGAGACTCATAAATGACATCTGTAGTTTTGTTATGTGATATTTTTTTAAATAATGTTTTCATTTAAAAAAATCTATTTTCTGCCTTAACAGAGTCAGATGACAAATAACTTTTTTGTTGGGTTAGGTTTATTGTTTACAAATAAAAACCTTTGAATATTTAATTTTTCCAGTTTGGTAAGACATCTAACCTACTGATTTCTGTTCTGTGTTAAACAAACTATAATCACTGAAAATTATGTGGTTTAACATAGGGCGATTATCATCACGAGTCTCATTAAGGACCTCTGTAGTTTTGTTACGTGATACTTTTTTAGATAAGATTTTAGTTTAAAAAATTAAATTTTCCATTTTTTTTATCTTTCTATACCTTATACGCTATTCTATGTACACTTAAATATAGCACAGACATTTGACAATTTCTAGGTTAGTTAGTTAGAGTCAGTTTACCAGACGACTAATAACTATTTTCGTTGAAAACAATTTTTTTCCTGTTTGGTTAAACATTTTGTTTTGTTTAACACAAACTGTAATCTAATAAATGAAATAATATTTTAATATTAAAAATTCCATTTTACAACTTCTTTTATCTGCATGTAAATATGTTCTAATCGTTCTCGATCAAATTCTAATGTTCAAAATGGCGCTTTTCCCTTTTTTCCCTTTCCAGCATAAACGACATCGACGAGCTGACCTCACACGCGTTATTCCTCAACGACCTCAACTTTCACGGCCTCAGCAAGGAGATGGTGCTGGCCGGCTGGCAGCACAACTCCAAGTAAGTCAGCGCGCTCCACGTAGAGTCCCTACAGGGCGGTTTTCAGGCTCCAAATGACGTTCGACAAGGCCGAGCAAAAGGCCGAAGAGCTGGAGAAGAGCTACGTGCTACTGGACACGTGGAAAAAGCGCGGCGACGATCTCCTCTATTCCATGATTCCCAAGCCCATCGCCGACCGCCTCAGGGGCGGCTCCTCTGCGTTGGACACTTGCGAATCGTTCGAGATGGTCAGCATTTTGTTTTGTGAACTGGTCGGTTTGACTTCCGAGACGGTGCGGGAAACTATGCAGGTGGTGACTACTATGAACACCGTATTCTCCAGATTTGACGCTCTTATGGACAAGCACGATGTATATAAGGTGGGCGGAGTAGATTTTTTGGTATTGGTGAAATTATAAGTTTTGGTCGAAAAAAAAAAAAGTGTTTTTAGATTAAGATGATGCAGATGATGAAAATTACTCTTTGTATTTAGGATTACATTTACATCAACAACTTCAACTTTTATATGCTCAGACCAACTCTATAGTATCAGCACTGGTTGATTTTACTTACTGAGTACTATTTACCGCTAACGTTAACCTTAAATTACACTCAAACGCAACCATATGGTTTATTGTGAATCTTTACCGATATTGGATAAAAATTAGTCAGTTTGGATTCCTTCAGGTCTAGAAAATTGAAGAAAAATCCCTGCAGGTCCACACCAGTTGCTAAAGTGGCTTTGATCTAGAAGAAAAAGTAGACAAAAAAAAAGCCTGGGGAAAAGTTTTACTTGTGATTATTTTCAATGTCGGAGTTCTAGTGCTAGTGCTAGAAGCTAGTGCACTGTGTGGTCGCTTATGCGAGTGTCAATCTGCGAAACAATATGTTGTAATGTAGCAAGTCCAAATAAAGGACGAAGAAGTGACAGCATAACCTTACATTTTGGCCTGGTAGTCGTGGTCGTAGAAGTAAAAAAGAAGAAGAAACTTACTTTTTGGTTTAGGGTTATCTGTCAGTTAATAATTTTACGATTAATTAACCTCCAATGGTTGGATGTGAAGAAACTGATAATCTTATAGAAATCCAAGTGGATTTTGTTTGTCAGTATGTTGTTTACTTGATAACAGTTCCAGAAACCTGTATTTTATGTAAAAACTACATTCAATATGGGGTGTTTTCTAATGGAATGTAATTAAAGGATTTTCGAATCCAATTTAAAAAAGAAAACTTCGTATGAACATATGTCGAAAACGGTTAAACTTTTGAGTTACAGTGTGGTAAAGTTTTCAAAAATATATCTTTTTTCAATTTCTCCTATACCACTTTAGATACCTTAATGAAATTTGGCACACATGTATTATGTATCATGAGGCATGTACCACATTTTTTTAAAATACACCAGTGGCGGGCGTATGAAATTTTCCTATGTCTATTTTGGCAGATGGTACGCCACTGATTTCTATTAAAATAAAAATGATCCTTACGATCTCAAATTTTATTTCTTGATTTTTTCTCTTCACTGCATGGTAATAAGTGTTAATATAACAGCATGCTAAGTCAGGGATGTCGGAGTGAAGGCGGCCCCCGAAAAACTACTTTTTTTTCGAAATTTTTGGAGGAAATCGCCAGCTAGGGGACTTAACTTTTTTGACAGGTCGAGACCGTGGGCCAGGTGTACATGGCGGTGGGCGGGGCTCCGGAAAAGAACGAAAACCACGCGGAGAACGTGGCCGACGTCGCCATCAACATCCTGAAGTGCGTGAGGGAGATAGGTGGTTCTGGTGAGCACCCGGTGGAGATCAAAATAGGTACTTCCATTTCGTTCTATTTGGTTCTCCGATCAGAGCAAATAATTTGCCCGAGGAATTTGCCATCTCTACCAGATATTAGTCGAATTTCATTAAGTACATTTTCATCAGGAATGCATTCGGGGCCTACGGTAGCCGGCATCGTTGGAATCAAAGTACCCAGGTACTGCTTCTTCGGCGACACCGTTAACACGGCGTCCAGGATGCAGTCGAGCAGTGTGGTGAGTTCGCTTGATGGAGGTAGACAATGACTCAGTAGATATACTAGGCTAGATACACGACGCTTATATCCTAGACTAAAACACTACTGCACTCTATTAAGCGTTGCCAGATTGCAGATATTTAACGCTTATAATCCTAAGGATGTTTCCATTGTTTGTAATGAATACAGATTTCTTAAGTTTTCTCTTTTACCGATGCAGTTGAATTGACTATTTGATGCGATTTTGATGATGCCTTTGTTCTCGAGACTATGTGCCTTAATGTCGCCTGGGACCTGAATCCAATCTTAGCTTTGGTTTGTTATTCGACTGATCATTTCCGAGTTTCCCTTCACGTAGAGGATCGTCAAGAGGGAGTATCTAAGCAATCGCTTTGCAGTTGCTTTCGGTTTATAATTTTTTAATCCGAGATGATTGAGATTGCGACTGGAAGTACCGGAAATAGACGCATAGATACAAGCATTCTGAAGTCGTTGGAGTCTATCCTTATCTTGATTAAGTATAGCTCCCCAATAGACAATACTGCAATAAGCGACATGGGATAAAACTAACATATCACAGAGTTTAAGTTTGACTTCTTTACTGAGAAAATGTTTGTGAATATGCGACGTCCTCAAGGATTTTTCTAACACCAAGCCAACATGCTTAGAAAACCGCGGGTCCCCGTCGAACCACAATCCTAAATTTTTACACCAGTCTGAAGGAGAGATAATCTCATCGGTTAGTGTAATCTTAAAAGAGGCGTTTTTTTACAATATCTTCCCTTTTAGTTCCAAATACTAACATCTGCGTTTTGTTATATTATACATATTTTGTTGACAATTATGGTGCTGGTGCTGTTGTTCTTGTGGTTACATGGAAGGGCGCAAATTGCAAATGTTGCCACTCTTTTATTGTTGCTTATATTGTAATAATTTGATTTTCAATAAAGACAGTTTATTATTATTATTATTATTATTATTATTATTATTATTATTAATCATTCATGGAAAACAACGGAAACATCTTAGCGATTCAGGCGTGGAAATGTCTACAATTTGGCAACCCTGCATAGAATGCGCTCGATGCTGGGTGGCGATACATCTGCCGCATTGATTTGATGGGTTTATCGTTTTTGCCAAGCCCGGACGAATCCAGATCTCCGACCGTTCGAGAAAACTGCTGCCGGAGAACAAGTACAACGTCAAGACTAGAGGCAACATCGCCGTCAAGGTGGGCGTGGTTTAGGATTCCCCAAGGTTCCCGATTCACTGGTTGTTGTTTTAGGGGAAGGGCGACATGCTCACCTATTGGCTGCTGGAGTCGTAGGCGGTCGACATAGAGGAAAGTGGGGCTTGTAGAAAAACACCTCCGTTACGGACGTACATAATTTATTAAAACTAACAGTAGCAAGCGTCTTTGGTGTTGCTTTTGATCCAGGAAATGTACCTGTTGACCCTGGTGTACACTCCCGGGTAGTTGGGTTGGGCGCAACCCTCACCCCACGACACGATCCCTACGCGTTGTCGATGAAACACAATTACGGACATACACTAGACTCGCACATATTTCTGAATAATTCGCACACGATTCAACACACGCCGTATTACACACGAAATAAGTATGATTACTAATAAAATTAAACTAAGTAGTATACCAAACCAAGGAATATTAAACACAGGTAGATATAAAATTATTTTCTATTACGGACCACGATTTTACCTGAATTTAAATTCCGAAACTTTAATAATTTTAATGTCCACCCTTGGATAACCCCATTCAAAAGCAATTGGTCGCTTTCTTATATCAATGAAAAGACTTTACCCACCTACGATCTCGTGAGTTTTCCCGTTGACCACGTGCAGTGGTCCGCCGCTGTCGCCCTGGCAGGAGTCCTTTCTCCCGTCCGGGAATCCCGCGCACATCATATTGTCCGTGATCCTGGCGGCGTACGCTGTCTTCCTGCAGTCCTGATTCGACATGATCGGCACCGTGACCTCCCGCAGCTTCGTGGACACCTGGCCGTGCTGCGAGGTCGCGCCCCACCCCACCGCCACCCCTGGAAATAATATAAATTCGGCCGCCCTGTACGATGGACGAAAATGGTGATTACAAAAATCGTAGATCGTTTTTTAGATAACGCCAATGCTTGCACTCCAAAAATGGCGGGTTTTAGTTTCTCGCGAATAACCGACACACCCTGTACAATATCGAAAAAATTACCCTCCACGGAAGTTTTAGCTACGGATCTCGGGCGTATTTCGTACTAATTAATTTTCCGATAGACAGAGCGGTTTTGAAGAAAAAACGTTTTTTCGAATTTTGAAAAATACCCATCCCATCCCATCGCGAGCAACTTTTACAGGTAGTGTCCAAAAAACAGTCGAAAATCGAAAAAAAAAGATGGACGCCAAGTTCCAATCGCGGCCATCATTACAAATATCGTGCTGATGGTTATGAAGGAATCAAAATTTCAACCTCCTACCTTAATCCGTTCGAAAGTTATGGCCATAAATGTGTTCGATCTACGGAGAACAGACAGACACAAAAAAATACGAGAAAACATTTTTTTCTTTTATATTTTTGCCCATAATTAAAAAATCTTGTACATAATTGAAAAAATGCTTGAAACAAAAGTTATATTACCGGATTTTCCTAGTTTTAGCTGCAATTTTGACACGTATAGCACAGAATATCCCGAACGCCGTGTACAATACGTGAAAACCTTTAACACAAAAGTTTCTGCTGTCTCTCTGACAACGGAAACACAGCCTTCTAGTCACAGTCAATTATCTTTATGAGGAGAACCAAATTTTTAGTTTTCTGTGAATACCGGGTACGCCCTGTACATTTTTGCAATTTATCAAAAATAAACGTTTACACCACACGTTATGTGTTTGCCAAATTTGCAGTCGATAACTTCAAATTTCAGACACTTCTCGTGTTTCACAGCGACGTCCAAAAAACAGTCGAAAATCGAAAAAAAAGAAAAGATGGCCGCCGGTGTCGGGTAGGGACGATTTTTTATTGGCTTATGGACCTAAATGTAGGGAAATCTGAAGGCCGTGTGCAAAACCGTTTGAAAGTTATAACGAATTAATACCCGGTCTACAGAGAACAGAGAACAGACAAGCAGGCAAAAAATATAAGTTTCGTTGCCAAGCGCGTAGTCCAACGATTTTTTGAAAGTAACTAGGGACCATTGACGTCACGATTGCGTCGTATCGATCCGTTGTTTTTGATTTTTTTCCCGCACGAAGCTATCGAAATTTTGAAAAATTACCATTGTGGCCGGTAAAGCTCTTGCCGGTAGGCGGTAAACATACGGGGCGCATGACGCCAGTCATCGCGACTTCTTCGTCGAGTTTCAACAGCGCGATGTCGTTGTTGAAGGCGCCGCCGCCCCCGTACGACCGGTGGCGGTACACGGTTTTGATTTTTCTCGAAAAAGTTGTCGTTTCGAACGAGTTCGACCGGTCGTGGTCCAAAAACACGGCCGTGAGTCTATCCTTGTTGATGCTGGAAAAAACAAACGGCACAGTGGCCAATCCATGACACTTGCACTTTTAAAATTCGTGAGTGAGTCTGGAAAAATGTGTAACATTGTGTATTATCCACTTTGGTAGAATATTCGAAGGTGCAAAGTACAAAAGGACGCGAAGAAATAAAAATATTTGAAAGGACGCGAAGAAATAAAAATATTTGACTTATACAGAGAATCTGTGTAAATATAATGTTAAAAATTAAAAGTAATTCATTGAATGAGATATTTTAACTAATTAAAATTAATTATTAAAATTTAAGAGTAAATAAATTAGTAAATTTATCGGAATTTATGCAAACAATTCAGAATTTCCAGTAAATAAGTTAGAATATCTGAGTTGTCAGGACCTCTGAAAGACAAGTCAGAACTTGTGGTAACTACGTCAGATTTTCTAAATAACAGTCAGAACAAGTCAGAATTTCTGAGTTAGGTCAATACATCAAAATGTGAATGTCAATGAAAAATGAGTCAGAATTTTCAGGTAAATAGGTCAGAATTTATGAAAACAGGTCAGAATTTCCGGGAAATAGGTTAGAATAAATGAAATAAGTCGGGAGTTCTAAAAAATAAGTCAGAACTTCTGGTAACTACGTCAGAATTCATAAAAAACCAGATTTTCTGAAAAACAAGTCAGAAGTTCTGAGTTAAGTCAGAATTTCTGACTTAAGACACTGGTCAATAAGTCAAAATGTCAATGTCAATGAAAAATAAGTCAGAATTTTCAGGTAAATAGGACAGAATTTCTCAGTTAAGCAAGAACTTCTGAAAAAAAAAGTCAAAATTTTTGAATTATAGGAAATATTTTAGGAAGCTAATCCCAAAAAAATTGAAAATTCGGAAAAGTCAGAATTTCTTAAAAACAAATCAGAATGTATAAAAATCTATTTGAAATTAATTATAGCAATAGGTCAGAATTTCTGAGTAAGGACAGAGTTTTTGATGAATATGTTAGAACGTCTGAAAAACAAGAAAGATTTTCTGAAAAAAAAAGGTACAAATTTCTAGGAAATAAGTAACAATTTCTAAAAAACAATTCAGAATTTTCAGGTAAATAGGTCGGAATTTATGAAGACAAAGTCAGAATTTCCGGGAAATAAGTTAGAATAGTTAGAATATCTGAAGTCAGGAGTTCCAAAAAACAAGTCAGAACTTCTGGTAACTGCATCAGAATTTCTAAAAAAACAGGTTTGCTGAAAAATAAGTTAGAATTTGTGACTTAAGACATAACTAAATACGACAAAATGTGAATGTCAATGAAAAATGAGACATAATTTTCGGGTAAATAGGTCAAAATTTATGAATAATTTATGAATAATTTTTCAGTTGAGTAAGAATTTTTGAATTATGAGAAATATTTTATGAAGTCATTCCCAAAAAAATTCAAAAGTCAAAAAAGTCAGAATTTCCTAAAAACAACTCAGAATGTATAAACATCAAGTCAGAATAATTGGCCGATGAATCAGAATTTATGAGTCAAGTCCGAACTTCTGAAAAATAAGTCAGTATTTCTGCTAAGTATGTCAGAATTTCAGAAAACACAGAAATCTTTTCCGAAAAAAAAAAGTCAAAATTTTTAGGAAATAAGTGAAGAAGAAATCAAAATTTCTGAAAAAATAAGTCAGATTTTCGGAATTATAAGAAATATTTTATGAAGTCGTTCCCGAAAAAACCAGAATTTCTTAAAAATAAAGTCAGAATCAATGGAAAACGAATAAGACTTTATGAGTCAAGTCAGAACTTCTGAAAAACAACTTACAATTTCTGCTAAATACTGCTATATTTCTGCTAAGACTTTCTGAAAAATAAAAAATCTTTTCTGAAAAACAAGTTGGAATTTCCGGGAAATAAGTCAGATTTTCAGATATATAAGTCAGAATTTTTAGAAAATTAGTAAAGTAGTTAGAATCTCTTTATATATATATATATATATATATATATATATATATATATATATATATATATATATATATATATATATATATATATATATATATATATATATATATATATATATATATATATATATATATATATATATATATATATATATATATATATATATATATATATATATATATATATATATATATATATATATATATATATATATATATATATATATATATATATATATATATATATATATATATATATATATATATATATATATATATATATATATATATATATATATATATATATATATATATATATATATATATATATATATATATATATATATATATATATATATATATATATATATATATATATATATATATATATATATATATATATATATATATATATATATATATATATATATATATATATATATATATATATATATATATATATATATATATATATATATATATATATATATATATATATATATATGATGACACTATATTCCGGGATATCATCCGTTCGCTCGTTGAACTCCGACTGGAATCCTGCATCCGACTGGAATCCTGCAAATCCTACATCCGACTGGAATCCCGCAGACGTTTCGCCAATTGTAGATGTGCGACAATTACGATGTTGAACTTTTAAACGTGATGAATTGGTCAACTACGTACCCGTTCACGCAATGAGCGGCGGTGAGGAGGTATCTATTGTTGATGAGGGAAGCGCCGCAAAAGAATCGGTTGTTGTACAGCAGCGCCACCATCCAAGGGTACTCGTTTATCAGAGTCTCGACCCCCCCGACGATTCGCCTGTGTTTCAGAGCGAGGCCGCACGCTGCGACCGTTTTTTACTTATTTTCGGTTTTATTTTTAATGTTTTCTCGGAAACTCACAGCATTTGGAGCAGTTGGATGGGGGTTCGGAGGGTTCCGGTGTCGAATCGGGTGGACGTAAGCCGACGATACCCAAAAACCAGTCGACCACGTTCTTGTGGGTCGAATTGTCGTCGCCCAACGTCAACGGCTGACTGGTGACCACCGTTTCCATGATAACGTCGCCCGGTTTAAAGCTGAAAGTAAGATGATGACTCACGCATTGGAGAAGTCATTTCTAGGTTACATAAAGTCAGAGTTTCTCAAAAAATTGATCAGAATTTTTGAAAAATAAAAATTTCTAGTAAAAACGTCAGGATTGCTGAAAAACAAGTAAGATTTTCTAAAAAAACTTCACGTTAAGATTTTCAAGGAAATAACTCACATTTTCTGAGCTAAGTCGAGACTTGTGATAAATACGACAGAATTTCTGAAAAACTAGAAATATTTTCTGAAAAACAAAAATTTATAGGAAATAACTAAGAATTTCTGGTGAATATGTCAGAATGTCTGAAAAACTAGTCTGAGAAAATTTCTAGGAAATAAGTCAGAATTTCTGATAAACAAGTCAGAATTTTCAAGCAAATAGTCCCAATTTGTGAGTTTAATCATAATTTTTGTCTCATTCGGGATTCGTCAAAAACAAGTCAAAATTTTAAGGTAAATTGGTTAGAAATTCCAATAACAAGCCAGAATTCTTGAATTAAGTAAGAGTTTCTGGATGAAGTGAAAATTTCTGAAAAAACAAGTCTGGATTTTTGAGAAATAGGTTCGAATTGTTGTTTGATACTAATTTTTGGCTTAAGTCAAAATTTCTGAATAATAACAAATGTTGTATGGAAAATGAATCAAAATTTCCGGAAAATAAGTCAGAATTTCTCCAAAAAAATCAGAATTTTCAAATAGGTGAGAATTTCTTGAAATACGTAAAAATTTCTAAAAGCAAGTCAGAATTTCAGAAGAACGAATCAGAATTTCTGAGTGAGGTAAGATTTTCTGAATAAAGTCAAAATCTCTGAAAAAATAAATCTCAATTTATGGAAAATAAGTCAGAATTGTTGAGTTTTATAATAATTTTTGGGAATTTCCGAATAATAAGAAATATTTTATGAAAAAGACGTACGAATTTCCGGGAAATAACTCAGAATTTCTCAAAAACAAGTTACAATTTTCAAGTAAATGTTAGAATTTTTTGAAACAAGTCAGAATTTCTGAAAAACAAAACAGAATTTCTGAAAAATAGGTCCGAATTTCTGGAAAATAAGTCAGGATTATTGACTTTAAGTCAGAATTTCTGAATAATTAGCAATATTTTATGAAATATGTCAGAATTTCAGGGAAATAGGTAAGAATTTCTCAAAATCAGGTCACAATTTTCAAATCCGAATTTCTGAAATAAAAAATCCAAAACTGAATCATCCTTTATATCTTATGTTTCGATTCGAACTGTCCCCTAAGTGAAAATGTGACTTACTTTGCAGAAATTGTGACATGTTTTTGAAGAAATTCTTATCTAAGTAGGAAATTCTGACTCAAGTCCGACTTATTCCTCAAAAATTTACCTAATAAAACTAAAACCTATATATTATTTTTGGTGACCTCTTAGCGCTTTCCTTGCAAACCAGAGAACAGTAATAAAAAAATAAGAGAACTGTAGATTCTGCGGTTGTGGATCTTGTGAGTCGTTTCTTGTCGGCCCGCTGACAGAATCCACTGTTTTTCGGTTTAAATCTTTCGATATCGATTTAACTTGTAATGTCAAAATTGTCGCACGGCGAGGCTGTGGGGCGTGTGAGCAAGTTTTTTTGGTAAGGGTTTAAAAACTTTGTAAACGGAAGTGGTTTGGTCGTTGACTACCAAGAAGAGTTAAGAATGTGCGGGATTATAGGTAGAGACAAACAATAAAGTGAACAACAATTTTAAGACAGGCCGTATAGTATCCATCTCGAAGGCGTCGAAACAATCAACCCTGTCGGTGAACTTGGCTCCCGAATTTTTAAATTAACAAAAAAACGGTGCCTTTTTTTGTTTTTTTTTTTTTTGGGCGCTGCTATTAGGCAATTGTGCCTTCGAGCATTGAAATTTTATTTTCGGCTAGTCCTTATTAATTTTGGTTAGTTTTAGTTACTTTTGGTCGGTTTTGATTAACGATTTTACTTCGGGGGCCAAGTTCACCGGTCGGCTAACGGTTTGTCACACGGAATACAGTGACCCCGTTGCCAGGTATTTACCCGCTGATGTTTATTCTCGGTCCGTGGGCGAAGATCAAATCCGACGAGTTCAATCTCAGTTTCCGCCTGGGCTGGGCGGGGCTTTCGATCTGCGACGTTTTGCGATCCCTCTCCTTCAATCGGTTGTGCGATACTTGCCACCGCGCGGGGTTCGAGTTTTCATCTTTCCGCCACGAATAAGACTTCTAAAAAACGAAAATCCCCGCATCGATAACCATTATCGCGAAATAAAAAAAAATATCACCAGCAATTTCACGTTTCCGCACTCGGCGGGGTTCAAACGGACCGCGAGGAGCACTGAACAAAGCAACCCGAGCCGAATCATGATGTCGGAAGTCGACGAACCCGGCCAGTTTGAAGACCGCTACATTTTTAAATCGGAATCTCTTGCGTGGAAAACCAAAAGCCGGAGAACGCTAATTACTTTTTAAATCGGGCGGTCCGCGGCGCGGATTAACTGTAACCGTCGTTTGCGGAAGAATCGGCTCGTTAAGTAGGTTTTTAGGCGCATCCATCACTTTAACCGGTTCGCAGTAGAAAGCAAGTCGGCGACCACAAAAGCACACTGCCCGTATTCTAATCAACTGTAACGTATTTCTTATTATTCCGTACCGGTTCAAATCGCGTCGATCTCAATTTCATTCACGTATTAATTAAGTTACATGTTTATAAAACAATCTCGTTGTATGCCACCGGAACGCGACTCACCAATTACGCATGCAAAGGGTATCGGTCGAAGTTAACCTCGAAATTGAGTCGCGCAAAACAAAACAAACGCGAGATAACGATTGCCCAATCTACGGCATACTCCGATAAGACGCAGTGCTTTTCTACATGGCCGACATGCAGTTCGCCGGCAAAGTGGTTCTGATAACCGGGGCGAGTTCGGGAATAGGGGCTGCTACCGCGAAACATTTCGCGAAATTGGGCGCCAGTCTCGCGTTGGCCGGCCGGAACCGGGAAAATTTGAAAAAAGTCGCGTCGGAATGCGACGTGAATCCGACGCCCCTGATCTTGACAGGCGAGTTAACCAACGAAGACGAAACCAAGGCCCTCCTCGATAAAACGATCGCACATTACGGCAAACTCGACGTTTTGGTCAATAACGCGGGAGTTATCGAAACCGGATCCGTCGAGAATACAAGCTTGGAGCAGTACGATCGGGTGATGAACGTGAACGTACGTTCGATTTATAATTTGACGACGCTGGCGGTGCCCCATTTAATCGAGACCAAGGGAAACGTCGTCAACGTAAGCAGCGTCAACGGTATCAGGGCCTTCCCGGGTGTTCTCGCCTACTGTATGGCCAAGGCGGCCGTCGATCAGTTTACAAGGTAAGGTAACCGAATTTTTAACTCTGTTTTTTTCAATAGCAGGCTTTGAAAGTACTGTTAACTGTCGCTTTGATTTATTTTAGGTGCGCCGCGCTCGACCTGGCGCCCAAGCAAGTGAGGGTGAATTCAGTAAATCCGGGAGTCACGGTCACGAATTTACACACCACCAGTGGCATGAACAAGGAGCAGTACGAGAACTTCCTCAAAAGGTCGGAGCAAACCCACGCCCTGGGTAGGCCAGGTCAACCCGAAGAAGTAGCCGGCACTATCGCGTTTTTGGCCAGCGACCATGCTAGTTTTATAACCGGGGCTAGCGTACCCGTCGATGGAGGCCGGCACGCGATGTGTCCCCGTTAGAAATGCTACTCGATTATTACCCTGCATTGTTATTGATGTACCACGTTGATACTTCTACAGATTTATATTTTTAAGCAATAAAAGAATGTTACACTTTTTAATTTTTTTTACAAGAACAGTGTGGTTTAATCTAACGGTGGTATTCCTAACTCTTCGTCTGTCCATTTGGACGGGTCCGGATAGGGGAATTCACCCTATAAAAAAAGCACCCGCACAGGTTATCGATGTATCTTGTGGGAGAAGCTGCACTTACTGTTATGTGATCGAATTGGGTCCAAAGATGCCACACGATCCACCAGATTGCGTAGGCCTGGATCAGATGCGGCAGACGTGTCATATTTTTGCTATACGGTGGAGGCCCCTTACGGTAAGTCCATCTAAAACGTCCCAAATTACATAATCGATAAACACATAACTTAGGTGAATTACGCTCCGCTGTTCCTAACGGATTGTTTCGCGTAAACATTTGCGTTCTGAATACCCCGCACCGCTTTAAGCGTCGATAACCCCCTCGAAATCAGCATTATTTACGAATAAAAAAGTTGCGATTTTTTGACCATAGACAACGGAGGCACGGAACACAGACGGGTTTTGACGGAGTAAGATGCACTCAGAGGTTAGTTTATACTATAAATTATTACAAATGAAGAAGATAAACGGAATTTAATGAAAAACGCATTGTGTTAAAAAACCGCAGCTGGCTAAACGAACTTATTGTGTTATCCAAAATTAAAACCTGACAGTGTGGCACACTTGTTCCACTTTTTTTTTATTCTGTGTAGCTTTGGTTACCGTCTGTGAGCGGGTGTAGTTTCGATATATAAACACAGGCGAGATGGCTCAGATTTCCGCGACGGAACAGCCCCACATGAAACAAATCGATCTGAAGCAATTGAACATCCCGCAGTTGTCGCAGCTCAAGCAGCAACTCGACCAGGCACGTACCCTAACCTCAACCGAGTGGCATTGTTTTATTGATTCCTTTTTAGGAGTTGAACTTGTTCCAAGAGTCTCTGGCGTCCTTGAAGGTGGCGCAAACGAAATTCCAAACTTCGAGCGAAACGTTACAAAATTTCTCGCCAGATTCGGAAGGAAGTGAAATTTTAGTGCCGTTGACGGGCTCGGTATCCTTTTTTAAATAGTGATTTGTGATATGCGCAGAGTTTGGGATCTTTTTAAAGCCTTAACGCCTCATAGATGTATGTTCCAGGGAAGTTAGTCGATACGAACAATGTTATTATCGACATTGGTACCAGGTATTATGTGGAAAAGGTAGATATACAACTCTCCCGGCATGGAACCTGTACAGTTGCTCTTGTTTTAGGACATACCCGCCGCGAAAGACTATTTCCAACGGAAAATAGAGTTCGTGACAGAGCAAATGGAGAAAATTCAATATTTGGGATTGGAAAAGAGCAAGATTCGAGACGCCATTGTCGAAATCGTCGAAATGAAATTGGCGCAGCAGCAGCAGAGCTGAAGTGTAATGACGTCCGGCTTTTGCTTTTTCATCACCGCTTGGATTGTTCACACACCCGTTATCGCCCGTCATTGTAAATAGAGCGACCCGAGGTTCATTCACAGTGCTAGTTTTTATTGTAACGCATCTTTTTCGATTTCCTGAATAAACCATTTTACAGATTACACGTTCCTAGTTTGATTTTTTTCATAAAAATCCCGTTTTCTTTGAAGTCGGATGCGTTTCATTAGACTAACTTTTAAATCACAGAATGAGCGATGCTTAGACGGTTGTGCAACCTCTTCGAAATCATAGAACACAACGCCAAATATTGCTACTGCTGCAGGACATACGTAAGCTCTTATTCAGCTCGATTAATGTGATAATAGTTCTTCAATAAATGTGTCGATAAACATTTAAACAAGGAAAATTTTTGAAACGGTTTATTTACTTAGTAAACCAGGTTTATTTGATTCGTCGCTTTAGCCAAACTGATCTACCAACGCCATCACAGAACACATAAACAACTTATAAATTACGTTATTCTTATTAAAATCACAGAATTTACGAGAAAAAGCGTAGAAAATAGTAATTAAAAACACAGAAGACAAAATAAAACCAGCGTATATAAACAATTACTTTATTGTGCACTATTTCTTATATGAATACTATTTACAAAGGGTCCATCATAGTCACAGTCTACATTATCCATAATTTTATACACTTACAGCTAGTTTAACTGAAAATAGTTGTTTAAAAAAAATAAATAACGAAGAACACGACATGTCTAGAACATAGTATTAACAGAAACCGATCGTTGTGAGATGACGTTTCGCTAAGGCCGACTTTACACCAAAGACATTCGGAATCCCTAGGCCAACTTTTCTTGCGCTGCAAAGTCGATCTTCTTAAGTATGTTTTTTAAATATAAATGCTGTTTCGTCGTTTACGTTTGGACATTGTGAATTTGGTTAGTTCCCGAATTAGATTTCAGTTTTTTATGATTACATGCTAAAAGTGCTGGACAATTCTCGCTTGATGACGTAAATGATGTCAAAACAGTTGCTGGTGCCATTTTGGGGGACAAAACGTGTACACATAGCGCCGCCAGGGGCGTACGCAACAAACTAACGGCGAATGATGCTCTCGTCGAGTCGTATGCACCTAATCGGCTTGCTCAATTGATTTAAGAAAGTAGGATATGTTGATCGTAGGTGGCGGGATCGATAACTCTGACGCAACTCGCCCCGATCCGAAATAATCGCGAGAGTTGCGGCACACGACTCTCTCTGAAAAGGAAAAATGCAGGGAAATTAACGTTGTACGGGGTGATTGGAAAAGATAGTGACACCATTTTTTATTTTCGTAAAAGTGTACAATATGCAAAAATCTAAGAGATTTATGTAATATATTAACTTTCACTTGTTTTTTAACCTTGGGCGAAAATGAAAAATGGCGTAAGGAAAAACGACCCGTGTTTTCGATTTACCATGTATTGCTTTGGGTGGGTTTCTTCGCGGTCCGTCTCGATTATGTCGACAGTTTTATTGCGAGGACGACCAGCGCGAGCCCCAGACAGGACGCCGCTGCCCCTAAAAACGGAAGGCGATCCGTATGACATATAAGCGCCATCGTTCGAAAACCGTATGAATGAACATCGCCGTTCGAAAACTTTTTTGGTCTAATTTTCGGTTTTTTTCGAGTTTTCCCGAAAACGGTGAGTTTTATTCAAAAAATTGTTTAGAGATAAATTGTAGACCTTAAAATTTTCAACAAAAATGGATTTTATACTTTTTTCAGTAGCAATAATCGTTCCCAAGATATTGCGATTCTTAAAGTGAGTACAACTATACAGAAAATTTCAAAATAAATGCGACAAGGTTGATGGGTGATGCCTTACTTAAAATACATAGTAGTTTGCTATATATACGTTTATTAAAATAATATTTTTGGGATATTTTCGGTTTTAAGATAAACAAATATTATTGTTCCCCCATATTTGTTACGTTTTTATAAGAAATTACCATTTGTTCTCAACAAGGAATCACCTCCATAAGTTTAGCGCATTTGTTTTGAAATACCATTTATAATTTTGAGGATAAACCATCAAAAGAAGCCCCCCGTCTCGTAGACATCCCATCAATCGCGATATCTCGCTAATGGTGGGTGCTAGGAAATAAAGTATAGCAACAATTTTTGTAGATAATTTTATGGTCTACAATTGATGTAAAACGCATTTTTTCCATAAAACTCGCCGTTTTCGAGAAAAATCCACACAACCGAAAATTTGGACCGGACAGGGATGGACTCGTTGCTGATAGAACGAAATGAATTGCGTTTTCACGCGAGTCAATTTGAAACGAACCGAGAATGGGAGCTCTCTAAACGGAACAAGTTTTAAGGAGATGAGGTAGCCGAATGTCGCAAGGGATTTGTATATAAAGTATGCAAAGTTCATAAAATACATATATCTTAAAAATTTCAGCCTCTCGCGATAGTAAATCAGCGAAATAGAAAAATACAAGAATTTATTTTTTTGTAAAAAAAATATTTATTAAACTAAAAAATAGGAAAAACTGATTATTAAATTTTAATCGTATTTTTTAAAATTCGGATTATATGTTTTTTAAAACACCCACATTTCTCTTAGAATATTACAGTCTTTCCTCCTTCCACCTTTATATACCTCATAGTCCCTCCTGTCCTTTCCGTTTAGCTCTAATTATTATAAAACATTTTTACTTTGCATAAAAATGGTATATTTTCGAAAAATATCCTATTTTTTAAAATTTGAATTATAATTTCTTTAAAACATTTATTTTGCTCTAAGAATGTTGAAATATTTACTAGGGGTAGAGCTCAATGAGGTCTGTCTTTAGTTACCTCAAAGCCCCTCTTGTCCTTTTTCGTTTAGCTCCAACAAAAAAAAAATTATCGTTACATAAAATTCGATACAGACGGCAGATGGTACCACCCATAACTGACTTTTCAGTACCGTTTGATAGAAATGGAGTTAGATTATATACCCTAGAAATTTCAGTTTCTTACGATTATAAGTAATTAAAATATAAAAATGCAAAAATTGGTTATTAATTTTTAAACGCATTTTTCAAAATTTGGATTATAATTTATTTAAACCACTTACATTGCTCTAAGAGTGTTAAAATATTTCCTAGAGGTAGAGGTCAATGAGGTCTATCTTTAGTTGCCTCAAAGCCCCTCTTGTCCTTTTTCGTTTAGCTCCAATAAAAAAAAATTATCGTTACATAAAATTCGATACAGACGGCAGATGGTACCACCCATAACTGACTTTTCAGTACCGTTTGATAGAAATGGAGTTAGAGTATATTCCCCAGAAATTTCAGATTCTTACGATTATAAATAATTAAAATATAAAAATGGAAAAATTGATTATTACATTTTTGAAGTTTTTTAAACAAATTTTGATTATAATTTTTTCAAAGCACTTACATTGCTCTAAGAATGTTAAAATATTTATTAAAGGTTGATGAGGTCTATCTTTAGATACCTCAAAGTCCCACTTGTCTCTTCCGTTTAGCTCCAATTTTTATTATTATTATTTTTATCCTTACATACACATCCTTCCTGACAGCAGACGGTACCACATACGTTTGACTTTTCGCTACAGTTTGATCGAAAAAGCATTAAGGTACATACCCTAAAAATTTCAGTATCTCACCGTTGTAAATAATCAAAATGTAAAAATGCAACATTTATTAGTCCAACTTCCGATGGCTCCAATTATTAAAAAAAAAAAAACACAACAATGGTTCCTGCTGACTGATGGTACCACTTAAGAGGGCAGCGCCAAAATTTCCCGGATTGAATATGAAAGAAACAAAGTAGAGTAACAATTTTTTATTATTTTTCAATATAATCCCCCTTAACTTCAATACACTTATTACATCTCTTTATTAACAACTCAATCCCTTTCGGTTTGTGTGCAAAATGAGCTTTTAACTCAACTTCGTCGTTAAACCGCCGTTCACGTAAGTTCTTTTTCAAATATCCAAACAAATAATAGTCGCTGGGGGCCATATCTAGACTATAGGGAGGATGATCTATCTGTTGAAACCCATAATCTAAAATGGCAGCTTTTGCAACACCAGGTGCAAAAGACGCACACCTGTGGTCGGTTTTCCTCGACGTTATTACACGTGTGCAGTCTCGCAATTTATGTAATAATAGTGCGTAATATTTACCATCGACAGTGGTATTAGTTTCTTTAAAATCTATCAAAAGAATTCCTTCACAATCCAGCCTTTCTTTAATAATTTTAGGTGCTAACCCTTCTTTTGTCAAGAAAGTTATGACTGCTCTATACTCAATTTGCGTTATGTGCGACATTTTTTCGGACACGTCTGGTTTAAAATGCTGTCAATTAAAAACTTTTTGACGCAAGACTTCATTTTTTTTTCGCAGCCTACTAAGATACATATGTGATACTGATACTGGAGCGGCATCTATGTCAGGCCGGAAAATTTTGGCACTAACCTCGTATAATTGTTTTTTTGTACCGTTCGATAGACAAGCAGCCTTTAAAATATCAGTTTCTCAACATTGCAAATTACCGTAATATAAAATTTGGAACATTAGTGAATTCGATAGATCGGTGGTCCTATACTTACCCGGTCGGCATACAGCGGCGTCCGTGGACGGTTGCTGGGTGAATACTTCGACCTCATCCATGAAGTGGTAGGTGGCGTTGAATCCGGTACCATCGAGCCTGTCGTTTGACCGGAAAGTGACGCGGAAGAATTTCCGGTCTGACTCAACGTCGAACTCTTTCAGTTGGCCGCAGTGGCGCGCGTATTTTCGGTCCCGCGCCATAAAATTCGAGAACTCGACGTAGTCGCTCGCTGAAATCGCCTCGCACCTACGAAGTGTAATATTTTTGGAGTACGTAATACGAAGAAATGAGCAAAACTTCATTTTCTCAAAGCTCTGGTATATCATTTACACATATTCGGGTAAAATTCCCCCTTACTCTGGAACTATGTAGAAGGTTATTCATTATATTTTGACACCCACCTAGCGGGTGAATTTTGAACGATAGAAAAAAGTGTAAATACAAAATTTCGAAGATTTTTGGTCTGTTATCGTATGCAAATGTCAGAAAAAACAGACGACGGCAATATCATTTTTTTAATGGAGTTCCCTATATATTATTTGAGAAACATATAGTTTGTTGACATTCCATTTAGCCGTTTTTGAGATATTTCAGTTTAAAAATAAAAATCATTCGATTTTTGGACAACAGCCGTATTGTTTCAAAATGGTCTAGTCTGCCTTGATAACAATCAAACCTGCAAGATCTGCAGGGTAGTTAAGTAACTTAAGATATTTGAAATGGTAAAAGTAGAACAATGTTAAAACAATTGCAAACATAGATAATATGGTTGCCATCAAGGCAGAGTTGATCATTTTCATAAAATATGGCTATGACTATATATATATATATATATATATATATATATATATATATATATATATATATATATATATATATATATATATATATATATATATATATATATATATATATATATATATATATATATATATATATATATATATATATATATATATATATATATATATATATATATATATATATATATATATATATATATATATATATATATATATATATATATATATATATATATATATATATTAAATGAAACTCCCTACATAATAGTATAAAGTTTCTTTGAAAATTAATTCAATTTTTTTTGATAATTTACTTTATTTGTAGTAATGAAAATATATTTTTTAAAATAACTATGTCCAATTAATATTATAAATATTACGTTGGCTATGACTCATCTACTAATAACAAAAAAGCAAATGTGTCAAAAACTTACGAGACTGTCAGTTATTAATCATATTTTTATTACCCATCCATTTATTTCTTCTGTGTTTATTTCATTTTCTATAATAATCGCAGTGGTTTCTTATGTTTTGTATGTTCTCCACAATGCATTGAAAATGCCCAAGAATCTTCGGAATTATATTGGCACAGGTAAAGTTTTGAAAGGGATATAGTCAGTATAATTTTTATTTTACAGGAATATATTGTGTTTATATCAGATATCCAGAGAGACGACAACCGTTCCCAAATTTTTTGAATGAGTATGGGGAACAGGGAGAAGCAAATATATTAGATTGCATAAAAGCAACGCCGTGATTATCTTGCAGGCACAGAACAAGCAATTTTTGTAGCAGAAACTAGGTTATCTTAAGAAAATAATAGTTCATTATCTGAATTGCTATTTGCCATTAGGCAACTAAAGAAAAGTTTCATTTACAATTTTTCCAACGATGAGGTGACCCGATAAATTTGATCACGGCCTCCTAGACACAATTTTCAAAAATTAAATAAAAAAAGAGAGAAAAACCATCCTATCCTACGTAGAATGACCTCCTGAATCCAAAAAATGCAAAAAATACAGGTTGTGTCATTTAAAATTCGAAAGTTCCTGTCGTGTCCGCTCAAACCGGAAGTACAACCATTGACTACATTATATTAACCCTTTCAAATTTCAAATCGCCATCTCAAGTTGTTACAAGTTCTAGAGTGTTCCCACTTTCTTGTGTCACCCTGTATGTTAATATTGCTTAGATATAATGTGTTTCCGTATTAACTAATGTTATAATGGACTATATTAAGTAGTACATAACCTATAAAACACATTTAAGAATTGAGCTTTAACGTATTGAGTTCCTTGTATCTTAATAATTGGTTACTTGGATAATGTTTTTAATAAATTGATCATAATAATAACTCTATATTAATACGTATTTCTGAAAAGCTTAAATGATTTCCAATTAACGCAAAAAAAAATTAGAGAGGGTGAACCATTTAAAAAAATATATGTTTGCTTCGTTAACTGACAAACGGTTAGAGCAAGTAAGGAGGCGCACTACGCCACTGGACTTTATGGAAAAAATCCTATAATTTCGTTTTCCAAACTCTTCAATAACCTAAAAGACAAAAGAGATGCGAGGCTGTAAACAAACAAACGTCACGACTAAAGCAACCCCCCACCCCTCACTCAACCTAATAAATTCTGCACCGCGTCGGTCCCCTATAAATTTCCCACCACTTTCCCGCACGTTGCGAAGGAAATTGCGAAAGTTTCGCAGCGACAATTCGATAGCGAATATATGCGGCCCCATTTTTAAGAAAATAAAAGTTGCATAGTAAGCCCAAGTCAAAAACGATAAAAGAGTAATAAAGCTCGGTGTAAACTTGAATCTGGCATATTTGATTACTTCCTTGTAGTAACGGGGCAGCTATACCCCCCCCCCCCCCCAAAAAGCTTTGAAAATTCCAACTTTAAACAAGCAGGCTTTGAACTATCTAAAAACAATTATATCGCAGGGTAAACGTCACCATGGTAACCGTTAACAGCGTCATGTTACGCCTCCGTTTTCTTGCAGAAATATTTAAAAAACCGTCCAAGTTCTGCTTCCTGATAAATAAATACGTTTTTTCAATGGACGAACTTAATAGACTTAAGTTTAAGCTACTTATATCAATAAGTACATATTAATTTTGATTTTTGGATTCCACGTGACTGTTATTCAATTAAACCCGTGTCCTTATTCTATTACCTAACGTAAATTCTTTAACTTTGCTCACCGAGCAAAACGGTATCACATTTTTTTTTATATATTTTTTAAACTTCCTAATTTTTGATTTATCGTCAAAATTTATAAAAATGATGTGTTCAACAAAAATATATCTAGACCAATTGCTAAAAAGTATAACAATCCATATTGCAAATAATATAGAACAAATAATAATTAGAACAGGCGATGATAGCGATAGTGATAGTGATACTGATATGAATAATTTTAAGTAATTTAAGTAGGTAATAAAAATAATTTGTAATTTCATTTTAGATTTAAACATAAATACATACATAAATGAATAAATATTGTTTAGTGTCTTTCCTAACAAAACCCCAAATAATGAAATTCACAAATTGCTCACAACAGACTAGTCGGGGAAGCCATTGAGATTCAAAAACACCCACACAATTTCAACCGAAAGGAGGAGACCCTTAGACTTAACCAAATCTGGAACCCGATCCTTAGGAACGCCCGAGCAGTACCGATCGATATCCCGAGACCAACCGAAGCGGAACAAGCCCCGCCCTCCACCAATCGGCATAAATACAACCTGCGCAGGAGAAATCGTCAGTCTACGTCCAACATCGGAGATGGAAGGACCTCTGAAGAAGCTCGCCACTCGTGCTAGCGAAACGTTAGGAAGTAGTTCCAATCGACGACGGCCTTTAAACCCGAATGAAGATAATAGCTTACCAACGGGCCGCGAAAGCCTTAACCAATTTATCAATGAAATTCTAAGCAAAGTGCCGACCTGTCTTTCCTTAATTCGTATCAGTTGGTCACTATCTTATATCTATGAACAGACTTTGCCCTAATTTTGCGCCAAAAAACAGCATATACTCACGGTAACACGCCCTCGACATCGAAGTAGGTGAAATGAAGGTGGACCTTTTCCTTCAAGTTGCCGTGGAAGAAGTAATGGCATTCGGTATCTCGCGGATAAAAGCCGGGGTAATTCGGACTGTGAAAATATCCACTTTTCGTCTCGTTACTATTCAATACGAAGGCACATGGGTATTCCGGCAGCTGGGTGCCGCTACTGATACCGAAATCTGAAATTTGTCCAAAATAAAACGTTTTAAATTAAGAAGAAATAACATACGAGGTAGATTTAAATCGCGAATAAGTAGGACTAGAATACTATAGCTATATGTAAAGTTGGAAATAAAATGATTAAAAACGAATAAAATGGGGCAGATGTATTAAAATCATAATTTAAAATATCCAAAAGTAAATAGTAATAACTAATCACTAAAGGACAAATAGAATAGAATAGTAATTAAATATGAAACATTTGTATCTAAGCTTGTGATATTCAAACGTATTTCAACAAGCAGAAACAACATCCTATGGAGAAGAAGAATAACCGAGCAACAGTTATAGACAATTCAATAACGGAGAAATAAAATATGATTAAATAAAATGGGAGATGACACATTATCATTAAAAACATGCAAAATTAATTTAAAGAATATTGAAAAGTGTATCAATAAGAAAGGAACCAAATATAAAACCGCTACAAATGATCAATAAATAGAAATGAAATAAATCTAATAGTATAATCTAATAATATCTATACTTATTATATCTAAACGATCTTCAACAAGAAGAAACAAGCTGGTGTTAGGAAGAAATAAATCATGAAAGCGTTGTATCTCAATCATGATTTAGAATATCCAAAAGTTGTAACAATTATTAAGAAACGGTTCTAAATACTAATTTATAGAATATTCAATGAGAAAGAAGTAAAATAAACGACTGCAGATTACAAATATAGACAAATGAAGTATGAAGGAGCAGTTATAACAAAATCTGGAATGTCAAAACGCATTTCAATGAAGAAAAAATAAAAATCGTATTTAGGGAATATTGAAAGGCATTTAAATAAGGGATAAATAAAATTTTAGTCAGCTCGAAATGATTAGTAAACTCAAATGAAATATGAAACAGATATATCTAAATTTATGATATCCAAACATATTTTAATAAGAAAGAAACAAAATATTATCAAAGAAAACTTTAGCTATATCTAAAATATCCAAAAAGACTTTAATACTGAAGAAACAGTTGCAAATACCGATTTGAAGAATATTCACAGGTTTTTCAATAAGGAAGATGTAAAATATGAGATATTTATAAATCACGAATAAGAAGAAATAAAGAATGAGGCATATTTAAGAATGGATTAGAAGAAGTAAAATATGAAGCAAATACATCTATGTCGGGCATATCCAGAAGAATTGCAATAAAGAAGAACTAAAATACGATTAAGAAGAAACGGAACTTGGAGTCCGATTTGGACCGCAAATAAGAAGAAGAAAAAAATGAAACAGTTACATATGAATCATGATTTCAAATACCGAAAAGTAATTTTATAAGGAAGAAATGGAATAGGATTTTGAAGATATAACATATGAAACAGTAGAAAGTACTGAATATGATTTAAAGATATTTCGATAGAAGCAAAATATGAGACACCAACGTTCGAGGCATTTTTAAAATCACGATCAAGAAGAACTAAAATATCTACAGAGAAGAAATAAAATATGAAATAGTTATAAATATCGCTTTAACAAAGTTCAATAAAGAATAACCAAAAAACGAGACATCCATAATAGTTAAAACTCTCTCCAAGATATTGCTTGCCACTCTTAGTATTTCCCAGAACGTATCGATTGCCTCATCGCGAAGAACTTTTGTTCGAAATATTCCGCCGCTAAAGCACGGCCAGTAATATTAAATTCGAATTTTGCCTTTGAGCCCCATGCCTTGATGCCTAAAAGCGGATATTGTACGGGTTACGTCATCAGAGATTGCACTGTCTCTCGACGTATACGTGGCATTTTATTTACCTTTTATGTCCCTCCGGCACATAGTATCGTATAATATCGCAGCGCGTCAAGCAAAACGAGAGCAAGTTGACAATACCAATATTAATCTTGTCAAATACAGCTCTCAAGAGAAGTCAAAGGTCTGAGTTCGACTGCGTGATGGAATTTAATAATTTAGAATATGCAAATATGGTGGAATAAACAACAAATAAAATATGAGAATAGATATAAAACTTTTTTTATTTATGATTTTTTTGGCCTTCGTGATTATGAATGATGTATTCAACAGAGAAGAAATAAAATATTTGATTCTTAATTTATTAAAATGAATATTAATGATCTCAAACATATTTGGATAGAGAGGGAATAAAATATGAGGCCATAAAGAAGAAATAATATGCAGGATAGTAGCGAACGTTGTGAACTTTTTGGTAGTAATGATAATCAACCGTATTTAAACAGATGTAAAACATGGGACAGAAGAACAAATAAAACATAGATATAGAACTAGTGAGAAGTAATAAATCATCATTAAGAAGAAATAACATGTAAGAAAGATATGAGCTTTTTAGGATTTATGACAATTGCGATGGAGAAGAAATAAAACATTACGTAGAAACAGAATGGAAATACCTTTTATAAACACTACGAGCCTGTTGCGAAAATTTACCAAAAAAAAAATAAAATAAAATAAAATATGCGACATTTTAAAATCATGTTTGAGAAGAAGTATGTGGAAGTAATAAATCACCTTTCACCATAACTATAAATATAACCATAATTAACCATGTTTTGATGAACAAGAAATAAAATATGGTACATTCCTGGATAAAGAAGAAATAAAAAAATGCTGAGTTTTAGATCACGTTTGGGCAAAAATTGCTAAGATAAACAGAGCGTCATAAGAGAGTTTCCGATGCGAAAAATGAGACACTTTGCAAAACTAACCATATTTTGAGGAAGAAGACGTAAAATATGGTACGCATACTGATTTTTGCGATGTCAAACATTTTTGCTTAAAGAAGAAAAAGATCGGGGTAGTTTAAAATCACATTTAGGAAGAAATATGAGAAATTAATAATTACCTTTAACTATAACCATGTTAACCATGTTTTTGTTAAAGAAAAAATAAAATATGGGGCAGATTAAGATCACATTAAAGAAGAAATAAAATATGGTACGCTTATAGTTTTTTTTTTCGATTTTAAACGTTTTCGGTGTAACGCTAAAAAAAGCGTCATTGTCATTGCGAGGAAGAAGAAATAAAATATGGTAAAGCGAAGCGAAGTCAAGCATTTTTGGTTGAAGAAGAAATAAAATATGAGGGAGTTTAAAATCATGTTTAGGAATAAATATGAGAAACCATAACTATAACTATAAATAACGATATTTTGATTAAGAAGAAATTAAAGATGGTCGCTTGTATATATCATTGTTTTTTTTTTGCGATACCAAACATTTATTGTTAATGAATTTAGACTACGTTTGAGAAGAAATAAAGGACGAGAGATAAATCATCGTCAAGAAGAAATGAAATATGATTCGCTTGCACACGATGTCAAATATTAAAGACGAAATAAAATATGGGGATGTTTAAAATCACGTTTAGTAAGATATATGAGAGATTAATAAATTACCATGTCGAACATTTTTGGTTAAAGGAGACATAAAAGGCGTGGTTTTAGATCACGTTTGGGAAGAAATAATGTAATGTAATGTTTGTATCACTCATACTTACTTTCGGTGAAGCTATACGTCGCGTTGAATCCCCTGGAGTACCTGGAGGCGAATAGGCTCTGGAACTCCAGTTTGAGTCGCGGTCCGTTCGACATGACGGGTTTCGGAAGAGATCCGCCGCAAAAACTGTCGAGTTTGTCCATGCGCCCGTCGATATGGACGAAAGCGACCAGTGAGTCTTGGTTGTCGCACCTGTCATGAAAATATGGTTTCTAGGGAAGACAGTCAAGGCACAAATTTAAATAAGTGCATATATATATATCTCAAGTTCCGCATGTCATTGTGATCCGAAAGTTGCTATCTATTGTTGCATTCAAACTGTTGAAGGTATTGTACCATATCTCTGTTAATATCGGTCTCAGAACACTTTTCTTCTTCTCTTCTTTTCTTCTTCTTAGGAAAATCGGCAAAATACTTCGTGACCTTTCGACCTATAAGTTGCCAGTAGTATAAGATTTTACGTCGTGTATCGCTGTTGTCTCAAATATTTGTATTTTATTTCATTGAACTCGGAAAAGAGAGAGCTCAACGAGATAGCTCTGTCTCATTCATCCGAACAGAGCCGAAACGTTGCCAGAGACTGCGAGAATGAGCCGCTAAATTATTCGGCGAGTTTACTTCCGGCACCGGGCTGCCGGAAGTGACTATTATATGCGGAGCATACTCTACGTAGTTGCCGAATTCATACGCTGCCGTGAATACGCCGTTCGTGTATTGAGTACACACGAGCTATGAGACGGAATATTAAAGCTTATTCGACTATACGAGGGTCGATCTATATAATATAGGCAAGGGACGATAGGTAGGAAGGGCAAAATCGCAAATATTCCGAAATCTAACACTTAAAGTTTTTGAGATTGTCCATTCTTTATTAATCACGCTTTATATCCGATGTTTCCATTGCCACTGTCCAATACTTATGCCAACAATTATTACTGATTTTTCAGAAATTCCGACTTTTTTTCCAGATTTTCTGTCCTGTTTTTCTGATATTCCGAATTTTCTACAAATATAGAAATTACATTTACATTGTCATTGTTATGTCAGAAATTCTGGTTTGTTTCCTAAAAATTGTGACTTATTTTCCTGTCTTGATTTTCAGAAATTCTAATTTATTACCTTGAAATTTAGACGTAATTTTCTGAAAATTCTGAAATTTCAGAAATTTTGACTTATTTTATACAAATTTCAAGATATCTTTAGGAATTCTGATCAACTCAAAAATTCTGAGTTATTTTCCATAAATTCTGCGGAAATTTTCAGAAATTCCGACTTATTTTCTAGCAATTCTTACTTGATATTCAGAAATTTTTGTAACCTCAGAAATTCTCATTTATTTTCTACAAATTCTGAAGTATTTCTATGACTTATATTATTTTCGGATATTCTAATTAATTCAGAAATTATGGCTTACTTTCTAAAAATGTTGAAGTATCTTTAGGAATTCTGATTAACATAGAAGTTATTACAACTTTTGCAGAAATTATGACTAATTTTCTAGAAATCCTGATGTATAATTTTTACAAATTCTGACTTATTTTCTAAAAATTCTTACGTAATTTTTAGAAATTTTAATAACCTCAGAAATTCTGCTTGATTTTGCACAAATTCGGACGTGTTTTTAGGAATTCTCATTAGAAATTCTGACTGATTTTCTAGAAATTTTGACTTAATTTTGAGAAAATTTTCTACAAATTTTATAGTATTTTTAGAAATTCTGTATTTTTTTCAGAAATTTTGACATATTTGTAATTAATAATTTGGTCTTGTTGCTCAGAAATACTAACTTATTTTCTCGAAATTCTGATGCAATTTTCAGAAATTCTGATTAACTCAGCATTTGTGACATATTTTCTATAATTTCTGACGTATTTTTTGGACTTCTGATTAACTCGGAAATTCTGACTTGTTTTTCAGAAATGCTGATTTATTTACTAGATATTCTAACTCAGTAATTCGGACTTAACTCCGAAATTCCGACTTAACTGAGAAATCCTGACTTCAATCAGAAATTCTGATTATTTTTTTAGATATTCTGAACTGTTGCTTAAAAATTTTGTCTTAAACTAAAACCAATATGTTATTTCTGATGGTTTTTCAGCCCTTTCGTAAAAAAAATATTATTATTGGAATGCAGCTGATTCGCATTCATGTTTGTAATTTGTTGTGGCTTTGACTGTTTGACTGTTTGATGATGATCGTGTGACCGAAACGCTTGCAAAGTTTTTCGAATAATTATTTTCGACACTTTGTATAAGTTCAAATCTGGACAACAGTCCAATGAGAGAGGAGAAATACAACAATATGTTGGGTAGATCATATGAATCATTTTGGTTAGATGAACAAATAGCTAGATAATAATATATTTCCGGGCATTGCAACGAGAAGTAGAAAAGAAGAATCCATAAAAAAAGACACCAGATAGCTACACAAAAAGGAACAAGGAATTGATTTTTATCAGCATTCACCAGAAATTATGCCGCAAACTTTTTAATAGGCTGCATACGGGAATTGTTTATATTTTTTGCATTACATTTACGTGAACTTTCATTAACTTTGAACTTTTATGTACGTAAGTTAAAATATACAATGCTAGGGTGAGTATTTTGCATGATTCTAAAGGTTTCCCTACAGCTAGCATTATAAAGCAGCTCAAAACGGCGTGCAATCTCAGGACGCCGCTGGCCTGTCTTTAGACAACAACCTTAGAGACATTGTCGAGAACCGTAAGGCGAAGCAAACATTTACTAATTCCTCGACTGCGAGACACTTTTTTTTAAAGAACTCAACATAAAGAGGTTTTTAGTGAGATTTAAACGGAAAGAAATCGTAAAAAGTGTTCCGTATACAACTTCTTTACTGTACAGTATATTCGAACTTAAGAAAATTTCATTTTTCTCCCTGTAACTCACTCTTTTTCCTTGACGTCTTCTGGCGACTGGTACAGGTTGAAATCGTGGAAGACGATGCGCACCCTCTCCTTACCGCGTCCTTGAAACTCGTACCTGCACGTCGTCTTCGACGGATACGGCGACGGGTACAGCGGACTGCTGATGGTACCGTTCTTGCTGGTGTCGCTGCTTATCGCCAGGTCACAGCTAGACCCTGCGACGAAGAATAATTATTTATAACATAATTTGAACTACACCGTACGCTTCCTACGCGTGAAACGTATACGCGCGTGCATTTGTCCTTGTTAAACGCGAGGCTACGCCGCGCATCTAAAATTCCATTTAGTTTCCCCTCCGTCCGTCGGGTCTACATTAGACGAAAATCTCGTTTTGCCGCATTTAATGGAATATTTAATGAAAAGGTAACGTAAAATTATATACGAACGTATATTTAACGCATACTTTGCTCCGCGGACTAAAGGGGACAACTTTTTTTAATAAATATTTTTGAGGACATTTTTGCAAAGCATTTCATCGAAACTCCCACGGGCTACCGTAATTCTGTTTAGAAATCTTCTGAGTTCTTTCTGCGTCGACTGCTGTCGAATCGAACTTGCTGACGTTTCATCCAGTTGGCTTCATCGGGGCTTAGCTGAAACTGGCTAATATTCCACTCTGTATGGTCCGTCCATAGATATAAGAAAGTGACCAATTGCTGGGATTATCCAAGGGTTGTCATTCACATACAATGCAACAAGATTATTACCTAAAGTCTCGGAATTTAAATTCAGGTAAAATTGTGGTCCGTAATAGAAAATAATTTTATACCTACCTGTATTTTATATTTTTTGGTTTGGTATTCTACTTAGTTTAAGTTTTTTAGTAATCATTCTTATTTCGCGTGTAATACAGCGTGTGCGAATAATGCAATATATGTGCAAGTCTAGTGTATCTCAGGAGATGCTCCCGCCCAAATGTAGAAAACGCTATTAACTATTGAGGCTAAGGAAGTTATAAACAATGTTTACTTGACTCTCATTGAACGTGGTGCCAGCAAGCAAGCATCTTTAGAAGAAACGGCCACATTGACGAAAATTCCAACATCAACTGTATGGAAAATTGTGAAGCCATTGACATTGACACAAAAGCAACAATCCAAAACTACATGTATAATAACGACATTTATTTTCACGAAGATTATACCAAAAAGCAATTAATTGAGGTTCTACAAAGCTTGAACCTACAAATGGAATAGGTATGTGATAATTATGCAAAAAATCTAGGGTATACAGTTTTAAGGCTTCCACCTTACCAATGTATCTGCCATTCTCTCCACAAAGTTGGGCAAATTTTGTTAAACATATAGAAAAAGCAGAACAATCGTATTCCATATTGCAAATAATATAGAACAAATAATAATTAGAACAGGCGATGATTGCGATACTGATATAATATGTGAATAATTTTAAGTAAGTAAGGTAATAAAAATAGTTTGCAATTTTATTTTAGATTTAACCTAAATACATATATAAATAAATATTTTTTAGTATCTTTCCTAACAAAACCTCAAATAATTACATTCTAAGCAACGTACGGACTTGTTCGGCCATATTTCATTATTACAGCTTGCCCGGGTCTTTCCTTAATTCGTATCCGTTAGTAACTTTCTTATATCTATGAACAGACTTTACCATAATTATAAACGAAAAGAATAAGTGTCGGGTACCAACAGAAATAGTACGGATGACGTTCGTAGATAACGAATGTCTTTTAGAACCTGGAACCGAACCTGAACTTTGAGGATGATCTAAAAACTAGCTCTCAACATTTATTCTAATCCCTCTAGGGCGACTCCCCACTTCGCCGACATTAGCGGGCCGCATCGAATCGATACCGCAGAAAAGTTTGCCAAAACTACTCCGCTCAGGTGCAAAAGACAACACGGAAACATCGATTTTGTCGCGGACCTCTCGAGCCGCCACTATACTTAATTCGTTTTGGATTTTGTTGTTTCTTTGAAAGTGGCTCTTACCGATAGTGTTTGGGTAGCGTGTATACAGGGCGTCCGAGCGTTTAGACAGAATTTAGTTTGACACTTCTTTTGTTTACTTACTTACAATAAGTTTCCCTGTACGTTTTAAGTTGTCGGTCGACCTTCAGATGTCCTTGAATGATACAATTTAAATGTAAGGCGAACGGTGAAAGGTGTTATTTGCCGTAAGAATTTGAGCCTTTCCTGATTTTTTGTTGTTAGGTTCTACTTGCCTTGACGACTTTTTGTTGTTGTAATAACTGAAATATTCATGTACGGGGTTAGCGCCAAAATTTCCCGGCCTGACATAGATGCAGCTTCAGTAGCGCGCCACTGCGGCCAACTGAAAGAGTTCGACGTTGAGTCAGACCGGAAATTCTTCCGCGTCACTTTCCGGTCAAACGACAGGCTCGATGGTACCGGATTCAACGCCACCTACCACTTCATGGATGAGGTCGAAGTATTCACCCAGCAACCGTCCACGGACGCCGCTGTATGCCGACCGGGTAAGTATAGGACCACCGATCTATCGAATTCATTAATGTTCCAAATTTTATATTACGATAATTTGCAATGTTGAGAAACTGATATTTTAAAGGCTGCTTGTATATCGAACGGTACAAAAAAACAATTATACTAGGTTAGTGCCAAAATTTTCCGGCCTGGCATAGATGCAGCTCCAGTATCAGTATCAAATATGTATCTTAGTAGGCTGCGAAAAAAAAAAATGAAGTCTTGCGTCAAATAGTTTTTTATCGGCTGCATTTTAAACAAGACGTGTCCGAAAAAAAGTCGCAAATAACGCAAATTGAGTAAAGTTTTTGACAAAAGAAGGGTTAGCACCCAAAATTATTAAAGAAAGGCTGGATGGTGCGTACGGCCAAAGTTGTGATTCGTATTCTGTAGTGAAAGAATGGGCAAAACGTTTTCGAATGGGGACTCCTTGAAATTACGGGAGATGAAACTATGGTTCTCTATTATGACACTCTATCGAAAAAGAATCAAGCAGTGGAGTGGAATTCTTTTGCACCTGGTGTTGCACCAGCTGCCATTTTAGATTATGGGTTTCAACAGATAGATCATCCTCCTTATAGTCCAGATATGGCCCCCAGCGACTATTATTTGTTTGGATATTTAAAAAAGGACTTACGTGGACGGCGGTTTAACGACGAAGTTGAGTTAAAAGTGGCTGTTTTAGTTCATTTTGCAGACAAATCAAAATAATATATTTTTAAAGGGATTGGGTATATTGAAGTTATCGGGGATTATATTGAAAAATAATAAAAAATTGCTACTCTGCTTTGTTTCTTTCATATTCAGGCCGGGAAATTTTTGGCAATCGGCATTTTATATTCATTTCATTTAAATATTGGCAAGTCATAAGGCACTATAAAAAAAATCAAAAATAGCACAACAAAGTACAATTATTTCAAAAATTGGTCATCGGTAAAAGTTGTTTTTTAAAATAACAATGCCCGCATATTTTAAACATCAAATTAATATGACGCGAAGAACTGAATTTAAAAACTGATGTCAAACAACCGCCTTGACCACAGAATTAATAATGCATACAGCACAGTTTTAAAAATACCACTCAGACTTTACGTACTTCGTATTTGTACTTCATTTTTTTGAAGTATTTCGAGTAATCAGAGAGACAATTACCATTAAGTAAGAAATAATAATGATAAGAATTGTTATGACCATGCAGAAAAGAGGTTTTTGTTTTTTTTAAGCGAAAACTATCCATCGGATTGAAGAAAATCATTTTTTCTGTTTGGATATTGTAAGAAAATTTTATATTTTAAGAGAAATCGGTGACGTACCATCGCTGTTTGCTAAAACAGACAGGTCAAATTCACTAAAAAATGCCTCTTGGTACATAGTACCTGTGTGCCAAATTTGGTATTACAGGCATTAAAAAAATATATTTTATTTTTGAAAACTTTACTGGAGTGTACCCCAAAAGTTTAGACGTTTAGTTCATCTGAAGTTTTCTTTTTAAAATCGACCCAAAAATAGGCCCCTTAATTATTGACACTCAAGTTCTGATATATCTGTTACTGGTTGTTTGGCAAAGCCTAAAAATAGAGGATATTTATTATATTAGGCTCGTAATCGCAGGGGACATCACTGGTTTGGTCACTCCGCACGATATATTAAATACATATATATTCCTAATTTGTCAGGACTGGAAGTCCTGGAAGGCAGACCCTAAAGCCCAAAAATACAGGATATTTGCTCTGTATTTATCCAGTACGTGGAGAATGATAATCAAACAGCAGATCGATACGCAGCAGCCAACGGCGACATCGCAACTACGATCGGGCGAAATTAACAACTCGACAATTCGGGGGGCGGAGCCACCTCCTCTCCCCCACAAACAGCACAGTTACCACCTCCGGCGCAGGGTATAAATACCGCACGCACCGCTGATAACCTTCCAGTGTTCGAAGTGTTTTCGGAGCGTGAGCATTGAAGATGCCGAGTGAGATCTTGGCGAAACGTCGGATGATATCCCGGATTATATGAAACGATGATTTTTTTATATAAGGCTGACGGAAGCGCTTATTTTATAGGAATAGGACTATCATTAATTTTTTTCGTAATCGCAAGGCAAGCCACTGGTTTCGGCACTCCGCACGATTTTTTAAGTACGTATATAATTCTAATTCACCATGATTGGATCTGGCAGACCTTAAAGCCCAAAAATTCAGTATGTTTTTTATATGAGGCTGACGGAAGCGCTTATTATATATTTTATATTATTATATTTTATATTTTTTGCGATTCACACGGCGCGTACTTTCGACGGCGAGCATTTTTTCTGGCTCCGACGGGTCTAATTGGCGCGGCCAATCAGCCGAACGCTTTGTTCGTAAACTAATTAAGCCCCGCCCCCCTCTCCCGTCGTCACGGCGCAAATTTCGTTTTAATTTTCGTCGTCGCGCGGTAATTGAAAAACGATCGATCGTTCGAAGTTGCGAAGTCGATTTTTTTTTAATTAATGGGGAATATTGCCGACATTTTTAAAATTCGATTTAACTGTTGCCTCTGCTACGTCGTCCGACAGCATTGCCCCAAAACCGGGACCGAATTTTGTGAGATATGAAAAAATGAATTAGATGTTTAAAGAAAATCCATACTTATTTTTTTGCAATTATAGGGGGTGTTTCGGGTGA